TATACAGGGTAAGAAGCTGTACCCAAGGGCCCTGAGCACTTGGCTTGCTGCACGGAGTTGCTGTGCTCCATAAATAGGAAAGGWGGACAGAAATCGTTAATTTTCGTGCATTTGAATGGGGCAGGCTGGGAAGCTCAGGCAGAGGAAAGCAGCAAGCACGGTCCTGGCCTCGAGCTGCAGCGTTTTAATRCAAACCCGAAGAGGGTGCAGCCTCTTGGCAGCTGGCTCACTGCTCAGCCTACACAGGGGATGTGCATGGGGACCAAAGCTGCATGGATTTCCATGTACACTGCTTTCCTTCCATCCTGTGCCAAATATGATACCTAATGGCTCAGCTCACGTACAGCTCTGCAGCTCAGGAGAGGAACAGGCACTCTGTGACACGGAGCAACACACAGCCTGTTCTATTACCTGGAAAGGAACATTTTTTTTAAATCTCTAGTCCATGCTTTTATGCTGATGACTGCGTTGTGATGAAGTGTCTCAGGCTGAGTGGCCCGTGTCTCAGCCTCCGCCAGGGAAGCAGCGCTCTGGGCAGAGCACAGCACATTCCAGCCCCCGGGCTCCAGACTGTTGTACAAATAAGGAAGCAAAAGGTCCAAGCGGATTAGAGCAGGACTAGTCTACCAGTGAGAACAGCTTTTTCATAGCAGGAAATACGGTGGCACCCTTCATCCTGCCAGAGGAGAGGCATTACGTTCCACACAGCCATGTCTCAGTTTTCCCTCACAGAGGGAAGCTGCGAGGTTGAGCAGGTCCCACGTGTGTCACCTGTGTGTCACAGAGGCCGTGCCAAGGGCAGCACCCACAGAAGATGCACTCRGTCACTCGGTGCCAGGGGAGAACATCCCACAGCAGGCAGGCGAGCTCGGTGACAGCGCTGTGCAGATCAGCAGCCTGTGGCCAAAGCACTGCCCAGCCCAGGTGACACCAGAGTTCTTAAAAAGAGGTGATTTTTCCATTCCGTCTCTAGGTTAGTTASCTCCTTTGCTGGAACAAGTCACGAGTCAGGACACCTGCATGCAGGAAGCCACCAAGCCACCACCAGCTCAGTGCCACCCTCTGTGTAAAGGCAGAGAGCACTGGCACAGCAGCAGCCAGGAAACACCGCCAGTGGTTTGATTCTGCAGCACCTGATGAACTAGACAGGCTGATCAATGTCTAACAAGTAAATTCCAATACCTGATATAAGAAATGACAGCTTTTAATTATATTTATTTTTTTAGAAGACAGCTGTTTCTTTCACACTATGAATTAACAAGCTATTCATGCAGATTCAAACTAGTTGTGAAGACAGTTTAGCTTGGAGCTTTATTTTTTTCGGCATACTCCCACTTTTGAGCTTCATGCATTTGTTTCTTCTGGTGTGCTGAGCTCGTAACAGACAGGACCACCTGTGCTCCTCAGAATCTGGTGCCACAAGGGTTGGATCTCAGATGGGGCCCTCAGTGCCACCAGAATAAYGCTGGCAAACTGAGAACAAGTTTATTTTTGCATTGCACAGATACTGGCTGAAGGAATATTATTCTCGACTCCCATTTAGCAGTCGGGTGTTTGTGTCCAGGGGAGTTACACACCRGTGCATCCCTGAGGAGATAGAAGCCACTCAGGAAAAGATGGAGAAAGACAGGTATTCCTCTTATGCAATGTTACCTAACTCCACATGTTTAGAGCAAATTACCCTTAAAAGCATAGTTGAGCCTTCATCTGTACTGTAACAAGTGCAAAAGGAAAAAAAAAAAAAAAAAGAGAAAAGGAAAACCAACTCAAACCCACACTCTTGGCAGCCTGGCCCACTCCCAGGTCTCTGGCCTGGATTCCTGCAGCTCCAAATGAATGTTTCTTTGCTATTTTGCTTGTCCATCACACCTGCTTTGTCTGGTTRCCTTCAGTGTTTTGCATTTACTTATTCCCACACTAAGAATCTCTCTCCCCTTCCCCAGCCACCTATATTTTAGTGTAATAAGCTGTAAGATGAGGTTCTATGAGAAATCAAACCAATGCTATACCTGCTTGTTCCACTTTGCAGCTCTGAGTTTGCAGAATGCAACACAGATTTCTTTTACTTTTTTAAAGYAGCAGCTGAGTACCTTAACAAACTCGAATCTGTTTGGGGAAGTTGTAGGAAACTAATATTAGAGCTGCCATTTAATTCTCAAGGCAATAAAAAGGACCGAGAGGCCAAGTCGCCTCTGAATGTCTTTCATGTCGGTTTGTTACACAGTGTGAGCTTGTTTTACAAGTGCTCTGTTTACAAGAATGCTGGGGGAGCTGGAGAGGGGGGGAATGTTCATTTAAATCCTACATTCACATAGGGCTACTTTTGTAAAGGCCCGATCCAGTCCTAGCAGCTGCTTGCCCACAAAACTTGCCAATTGTTGGAGGCTAATTAAGATTCTCCCGAGGAGCTCTCCTCTCCCCAGCGGCTGCAGGCGGCCTCATCAGACATGCTGTCCCTCCCCCTGGCCGGCAGAATGCCCCACTGTGCTGCCTTACGTCATGGATTATGAATCAAACGATTGATTCTGAAAATATCAGGGCTTTAGGGCTCAATAAAGGTGTTCCCTTTAGGGGAAATGAGTCAGGGCTCAGCCCAGGAATAAACTGATACTGTATTACCTATAAACTCCCTTCTCTCTCATGCTGCAAGGGGAGGGTTCGCCTGCCAGGATACAATGGGTTGAGCACAAAGGGAATTCATCATGGATTTCTGGGAAGATGGCGAGGAATGCCTGGGCCTGGGCAGGAAGCATGACCTATCCACTCACAATAAAACTTCGTGCATGCAACCATGACTTTAAATATTAGTTTACATCAAATTACTGTGCATATTTGCCTTTTTTCTGTTCACTTCTCTCTCCAGCTCCAATGTGAAGAAACCCATAACAGGTACAGATCAAGCATGTCTGAAAGATGCTTGGTACTTCTGCTGTGKAGCTGAACGATAGAGCTGAACACAGCTCTAGCACTGGAACAAAAATTTCAGCTGGCACCAATACGCAATGTTGGACTTCCAGTATACTTGAGTGGTTATGGATGGCCTCAAAAAGTTTATATTCAGGCTTTAAATTTACTTCAAACCAGAACCAAATCTGATACAGAGCCAAAAGTGAAGAATATATAATTTCTTTTTAAAGAAATATGTTTCATCTAATACATATAGCTTTCCCCTGGTGTGCAAATCCCTCATTTTGATTATTTGCTAACTGCAAGAACAAGCAAGATCTTTCAAGCAGTGAAGAAAGGCAGTGTGGTGACATACCCAGTTTCAAGATGGTCACAACAAATGTACCATCAGCTTGGACTTCCTCCTCTTCCTGAATGTCTCAAGTGTCTGCCTACACTTCTTTCAATTAAAAAYAATATTCTCCCTTCCCCAAACTAAAAATTAGATTATTAAGACAACTTCACTGCAGAAAACCATACTAGATATTGTAATAACAAAATGCTTTATTTTGGGGGAATACAAGGAAAAGTGTGACATCCTCATTATCAAATTGCTTTAAAAAGGCATTCTTCCTTTGAAAAAGGTAACACTCGCAACAAAAGGTGACCGGTGAACAAGCCCTCTCACGTAGCAGCAGGAATTCTTTCTCATTTTACAGCCAAAGGCAGGGTTTGAATAATATACATCCACAGATTTCAACTTCGTTGATATTTTCTGGCAGGTCAGGGCACAGGCTCAGCTCTGCTGGGTGTGACAGCCCAGAGGAAGGCTGACACCAACCACCCAGACRGGGCTTTCGCAGTTCTCACCCAGGTCGCTTCGCAACAAACCACAAGACTTCACCATTACCACACGAAGACACCGAGAAAGCCACAAGGTTACTAATCKTCTCGCTTATCTCCAAAAACTTCTCATGCAAGCCCTAAGCTCCTGAGATTCTCGTACCATCAGTCTGGTTACAGCTCAGTGCGTCACCACATGTCCCCTCTGCTGTCAGCTGGGGCTGTGTGTGACAGGGACACAGCGATTGAAGGCGACTGACACACAATCCCTTCCTCAACGTACCTGCTCCCTGTACAGTGCGGTCCAAGAAAGGATGCGTTTCAAAGACTGCAAACTTAAATCCACCAATTACTTCTGCCCTCTCTGAACTTTGTGTTAGAATTCAAGTTGTTAAAGAAGGGGACTGTGAAGTTCCTAAAACTGTAAGGTTATGAAATAGGCATTCATATTTCAGTCCAGTGTGACAACTCTGTCACAAGTGGTATCCATCCATGCTAAGGGGTAAGATACATTGCTCTTGTTAAAAGGGGTTTGTGTTKTCTGAAGCGGGTATGGTAAACTCTGAAAGAACTACTGGTTTTCTTTATTCAGGTTAGACATAACAAATATGTCAGATACAGCAGTTAGTCTAGAAAAATACATTTAAAAAAATCTTCAGCAGACCATGCTCCCTGTAACAAAATCTTTCAAAACCAATTTTACAAATTATTCTACATTAATGTAAAAAGAAAATCTTAAATTTAGCATCGTGGATTCCATCAAACATCTATCTATCTATCAAAACATGACTTTCACTATTTGTAGATGTTAGAATTCATAATACATTTTTCTAAAGTATCCTGTACATATTAAATAAACTAAAAGGCTCTTCTTGTAGTGCATTAACAATTTAGCAAGCACACTCAGTATTTCTCCAGTACCATTTGCATTACAGTTATTTGCCCGCAAATGTAATTAACATCTAAAAGTGCACACAGTTAGATCTCCCTCCCTCCCCATAACCTGTTTCCCTGCTGAAACCCAGACATCCACTGGAAACAYTATGCTACTGTAGCTAATCTACCCATGATTAGAAATGTGTGACTAAAGTGTTCTTAAACTATACAGGAACTGAATTATATACAGGAATCAAAAGGACAGCCTGTATTTACATCAAGAATGAACCTCCACTACCACAGCATTATACCAGGAACTCAGTACAGTGTTACAGTCGGTATTCACTTAGGACTTTAGCTTTAGATCAGTATAACACAAAACTTAGCTCAGGACATACCCTGAAAAAATGAACRTGTTTATTAAATATTACTTCTATTTTGCCACAAGACAAATATCCATTSCTGGATATTCTTACAAGTTCAGTGTTTGAAATAGTGTAATAGTGTGCTGCTCTATGAAGCAGCAAAGAATTCCAGAGAGGTTGCTGGGGAAAAAAAGGACAGAAAGAAGTAAAAAAAAATAAAACAGAAAAACAGGAGAAAAAGAAGGAAAGAGGGCAGCAGATATTGCATGAAGAATAAGATTTGAATAACTAAACCAAACTGTTAGCACAAGTCTAAGACAGTCACTGCATGCAGAAACCCCTTGGAAAAGTGTCATACAGATCTGAGTAGGYTGCAATAAACAAGCTTAAGATGTAACTTCACTGAATTTTTCCATACCAGGAAAAATGGTAGGACTTTTTCCCATCAAATGGAAGGATTTTGAGATTAAATTCCAGATTATCCAGTTTGAGATTAACAGTTTTACTCTTCGAGAAATCCAGTGTATGAACCTATATTACATTTTTCCAATGATATTTTGAAAAGGCAAACTATGAACTTTTCAATTCATTTTTACATTGAACTTTGCAAAGAAATCTGAAGTGTTGTCTTTAATTTGCATTAAAGTGGTCAGACATTTCTCCTGTTCTCCCCTCCCCAAAAGTGCAAAAAACAAGTTACTGCTTGGTCCACAAACATAAAACATCATATACAGCAAGAGGTTTTCCTTCTGATGGAGTACTGCTGCCAACCCATCACTTCCAGTTTCTTCTCCAAGAAAAATGTCAGCGTCCAAAGATGGAATTCAATTCCAGGAGAATTAATTCTACAATCTGATTCTGATACACTGTGTGGACTGCTATGTTACCAGTCTCTTTCTCTGGTTTTAATAAGGTTGGACCAAAAACTATTGCTATACTTTGATAGGTCATTCGGTTCTTTTCTCCATTTTCAACAACTCTGAAAGACAAAAAAAAACCACACAAAAGGAGACTTATCAGTGTTAGAGCAATAGGATGACAGAAAAAGACACAGTCCAAAGCAAATGGCTATTCAGAGTATTTATTTAAAGAGCAGTCTCACTCTTAGGACATAGAGCTGCTGTAATTCCCTTCTCTATGAAAAAAGTTTTGTTTTGAAATGTCATTCTTGGTCCTCTCACAATCCCTCAAAAGGACTTGGCAGTAAATATCACAACTATGAAACAAACTGTCTCAATTCTGGTGCTCTGCAAGCTCATATCAAACCATACAGATATATCACTTTTCTAAAGTCCAATACAGGCAAAAAAAAAAAAAAGAAGCAGTGGGAACAATCACGCAGTATTTTGAATTCGATTATTTAAGGGAAGGTCAGTAACACAAAGCTTCTCCTTCTATCTGTTACTTACCTTTTCAGGTGTCTAAAGAGTACCTGCATCGTGTCCTGATTTGGTTTTGGCAACTGTTTAATTAAATCTTTAACAGCAGGGACACGCTGCCTTGGTTCTTGCTCTGCAAAAGAATGAGGTATAGAAACAAAAATTCAGTATTTTTGTTTAAAACTTTAGCACAAAATTGAAGAGGYTGGGAATGAAAGCCACGGTTTGCTGTGCTAATCCGAGATAGGACACTGCCATCTCCCGGCCCACCCCGGCATTACGGACAGGAAATTCCGGACAAGTCACCCCATTTATAACCGAAACATTCTTTCTACGTCCAAAATAAAAAATTGTACAGAACTGACCCAAACACCATATTCTAGTTCTGCAGACTTACTAATTGCATTGACAAAGTCATTGAAGTGGTTGTAAGTGAACAGTGGTTCTGGCAATTCTCTGAAGAACATTTTTAGGGCTCCTGTGATGACATGTATATCTTCCCATTTACTGTCATTCAAGTCCAGCTTCTCATCTGAGAGAGAAAAATAAACAATTAATGATAATACTTCAACTGTAAAAGCCCTTTTTTTTTAATAAATTATTCTTCTGTCCTTACTGCTTTCAAAGCAGTGAAGACTTGCTCTACTTGAGCCCATTGTGTGTCCCATCCTGGGACACAGAGCTGCAGCAGCAGACGGAGATGGCTAAACTCTGCCTACTGCACTACATACAGCTCCCCTTCTCCTAGGGCATTTTCCAGAAGGGAACAGGAGCTGCTGACATGACACAAAATTTACTGTTACAGCCTGTCAATCAGGAAATGAGAAGTCAGATTGTGGATGGGCTACTATTCTCTTCCTGGTTTCACTGAACAAAACACTAAGATACTGCCAGAAGAAAGGGTTTTATGCACAGAGTACAGTGAAGATGAGCTAAGCCCTCCCCCTACTAAAAAGGCAGTAGCAAATCTCACTTAAAAAAAAATTAGCTTACAATTTCAGCGCTACTGGAAGCTTAACATGCTTGCTGCTTGTCCATAAGGTAGTTATTTTGTTTGAAATGACCCCCCTTTCCTCAAATTCTATGACCATCTTTCTTTAGAATTCTGTTCYAGCAATGCCTCTATGGTCCAAGTGATGAATATTATTACATAATCAATTCTGCAATCCTGAAGTAACTTCACTTGGAAGATGACAATCATTTCTCATGATACACTACACTTACAGGGAAATCCTTTTCCTGAGCTTTCTCTGAACTTCAACAGTCTGAAAGTCTATGTCATTGTAATATAGTGAGGAAGCTTACCATGATTGACTGCAAATCTCAGCTTCTGTATCACGGCAAGATTGCCACTAACTCTGTATAAGCCATCAATATCTAAGCCTGAAACAAAAGGAATAAATCCACTTTAATACTTTACGTAAGGATAGGTCTACACAGCAAAATTAAAAGCAAAGGAAACCCACCTTGTAACAAAGGAAAAAAAAGTTAAACTAGCTTTCTTTGATGGGCAGGGCATATAAAACAAAGGACGCCTAATTTGCTGGCACAAATTTGGCAGCATCAAGCTCAAAATGATCTCTAAAACTTCCTATTCAAGTAGTAATGAGGCAACAGCTCCAAGTTTCCCCAATGAGATCAGATGTCTTAAGATGGTCCTGGTGGGTGAGCAGGGAATATATGCGAGTCCAACATGCAATAACCAAATATTTTGTGGATACAGTGTTCAATTTTTAATGTATGGTTAAGAAAAATCCAATCAAGTCATGCATAGAGAGCATCTCAAAGTTGTCAAGTGACCAGGCTTACACAGAGAGGGAATGATGTACATGCACACTCAGAGCTACCCTGAAAGAGGTAGCATACAGAATGAAAATGGGCAGCCCTTGCCTGACAGGATTGCACACTCGACCAGAAAAGAAGAAAACTGTGTCTCTGTGGTTGCTACTGCAGTTACTCAGCAGTAATTAGGAGGTAAAGAATTTATCTGAAAAGCCACTTGAATGCAGCAGGTGAGTCAGTGCCACTAAGAGGGTGAGCGTTGCCAGAATACCTGCAAGTCCCTGTAGCTCCTCAGGGAGTTGTCTGATGCAACACAGCACAATTACCAGCACCATCTGACATATCCCTTTTCCCCACAATCCACCAGTCACTCCTTTACAGAAAGAACTGATTTGAAGTGTATTGGCAGAAGGAAGAAGAGTTGGAGAGGTAGGGAAAAAAAGGGCTGTTCATTTCTGTCAGCTTCCCCTCAGGTATTTAAAAAAGGAAAACTTCACTATCTTCACTGCAGTCCTGTCTTTAAAATATAAAAAAACAAATAAAAATAAAAGGAACAAAACAAAATAACCCCTTTCTTGCAATCTTCAGATCACAATTGAAATAAAGCCACAAGCAAGGTGGAAGTTTGTCGAACTGGAGCAATATAATGGAAGCAGTTTTCTCCCCTCCCAGGCCATAAGATAGAAGCATTGACAAAGAGGACTACAGGCTGCAACAAAATCCTAAATGAAGTTCCCATGGAGGATGCCTTAGAATCCACATGTATTCCCCTGTAACACTTACCCTGAATCTCAAGAGAATGTTCACAGATTAACGGACTGGTAAATACCTGAATGATGATTATGGAGATGCCATAATCCCCTCTCAGTCATCTTTTCCAAGAGATAGGGCAAAGACAACAGCAAGAAACAGGCAAGAAAACCAGCAGAGACCAYAGCCAAGTGAGGAGTCACAACCAACATATTTTCAACAAAAATGTGAAGATGTGCTTTCCAGCATACAACCCAGAATGCTACATGTAGCTTTCCAATAAAGTGTTCTCAGTTATTAGGTAGGAAATACATATTTTCAATGAAAGGAAACAAAATCTGAGTCAATATGTGGACACTGATAATCTCCACAATTGCATAAAATTTAGCAATTGGTGTAAGTGGCTCAAGGGCATCAAASCAACAGACTGGTCTTCTGGCAGTCAGTGCATACACAGAGCAGGAACACAACATTTTCCTAGAAGGTTGATTCCAGGAAATTTTAATAGAAGGGATTGTTAGCATGCTTAAATCGTGTAAAAAGGCATGGTTGCATTTTGATAATCTCACTTTTAAGATGGAAAAAAACTTGGTGAGCTGAGCTCTTCTACTACTTCTTGTAATCCCTCTTCCCCTAGAGCTTTGCTGCCAGGAGACTGTCCTGCCTTCTCCTTAGCTTGAAATATACTGAAGCAGATCAGTTTCTCAAATATGAGGTTTTCTCCCCTCTCCCCACTTYGGATCCCACCTATGCCCTCACTCTTGAAAAAACCCAATGCTAACTCCAGATACAAGTTTAAGATTATTTTCCCCAAATAAACCAACAGCATTTTAAGATTTAAATGTTCAACATTAGGAGCGGTGAGCAAGAGAGATTTGTAAACAAAAAATTTTAACCATACCATGTTCCTCAACATGCTCAATGCACAACTTCACGAACTTTGGCACCGTGCTGTTTTCTCTTTGACACAAGCTGGTGAGATTTGAACCAAAAACTTGATCTGGAACCAAGTAAAGAGACTGATTTACAGTGGAACAGGACTCAAGTGACAGAACTAGTTCAGGTTAAAACAAACCTCTACAAAGAGCAAAGTCTACTGGATACAATTGTYGCAGTATTGGAGTGGAAATAGGAAAGTTTTGAAAAGAGTTCTCAGCAGCTTCCAGCGAGAAAAAGCTCCCAGTAAGAAAGAGCGCCAGCAGTTGCACAAACGTGAGTCTCCAAGGAAGGAAGTTTTGCTACTGAAATAATTTTAATCCATCAGGTGATACTTTTAAGAGTCACATGGTCAATACTAAAGTAGGAAATTTAATTGAGTCAAATGTGTCCTGTTACACCCCATTCCTATTCCAAGCTCAATATATATTTATTGTAATCTTTGTTAAATATCCAAACAGAGATAATGAACTTTGACCAGGGTGAAAGCTTTTGGCAATGCTTGGGAAAAAACCCTGCAAAATGTCATCTTTCACTGTACCTACTGTTTAACACAGCATTATATATTCATTTACTTTAACGTAGAGTCTTCTGACATTTTTAAGTTCTGACACAAACTTGTAAATGACAGACCTTTACATCAGAGCTCTGAATGGATGCAAGTCTGACCATGCATAGGCAACCTGGCTGCAAGGTAGAATCTAAACACAGATATTTATGGGCAAAGGTAAATTTGACTCTTATTTTTAAAACTACACAATCCAAGGGAGAGTATTTTTCTACCATAAAGTGGAACAATGAAAATCAGCTTGGACAGAGAGAAGCATCTTGCAACATCTCTGGGAACTCGAGCAACATGTTAATCCCTCTTGCTCAGATTACGTTATTGCCAAAACCTTTGAAAGATCCTTTTTATGGCTTTCATCAAAGATGCCCAAATAATGGATGACCTCTTCTGTTCAGATGCATGAGGGTGACATGGGGTCTTGAGACAGAGAAGAAAAGATCACACTTTTAAAGGGAAGGGGTGTTTGTTTGTTTAATCTGTCCAATTAGGTACACAAGTGGCCATCTTCCCAAGATCTAGTGTATCTTACTTCAGAGCTTCTGCAAAAGAGAGAGAATGCTCTTGTGTTTGCCTCATGCACAGCATCCAGCCCATTTTTCATGTTCAATAGTTGCAACAGATTGACAACTCTTGCTCCTTTGCTACTGCTTTGGGAAATCCAAGCAGCACACCAAACTGATTTTACAGTATGAAAATGGGCACTGAATGGCATTAACAGCTGAATATGATAAGGCCAGTGACCCACACCACCTCAGTCCTGGGGCAGCTACTCACGCAGMGAGCTTTAATAGCAGAATCAGTAGCAAAGGATTGAAAAAGCCCACGCAGCAGAAAGCCAGGCTAGCATGCAGCTGTGGCAGGTAAAGCAATGCAGATTAGGTAGCAGAAGAAAATAGTAGCATATAACAATGTAATTTGCTACAATTGCCTTTGACTTTAATAATTTCAATGTATACASGAGTATTTTTTTCCTTCTCATCTTAAAAGTAACTTCTGTACTTTTTATTTTCCATGTAACAAAACTTTAACGCAATTCCTTCTCCACTTGGGGCATGCTGTTTCAAGTGGATTTTTTCTTCTAGAACTTTTCACTATTTTTTCTGCTCATGCTGGGTTTGCCAAGCTTTCCATTTACTAAGCTTGTTCTGCAGCAGCCACAAAAGTACACTGGGCTTTTAAATGAAGACTTCTGTATTCTTCATTCAATAAATGTAAAACTGTACAGTGCAGATCCAACTTTTAAAACTTACACCATGCTTTTAAATAAAAACCAAACTCTTCATTCCTTAATGTCTTTATTAAAAATCCAGTCATTAGCACRCACATGTACAATTAAATTTGGCTTAGTGTTCCGTGTTGCCAATGTCAGAAGTTACGTCASTGAGCCATGACATGACTACTAAGATGTAAAGCAGAGCAAAACGTCCAAGTCTGGGAATAATGCCTCCTTATCCCAAACAAACTTTCCATCATTTACAAGTCAATTATATTTGCAGATACACAAATATATCAAACGCCACATGCAACAGAAGCACACCTGTTAAAGTATGTAGTGAGGCAAATCACAGCAGATTTGGTCTGGTATTTGCCTACCCATATGCTATTTTGACCCTAGTAGAGCACCACCTACAAGTCCTGCTAAAGCATACAAATAAATAAATAAATGAAGTTTTACAATGAGTACCAAGTCAATAATTTACACAAACACATTAACTTAAACCTGTGCAAATACTGTTCTCTCAAATTTCTACAAGTGTGACAAAAGGAAATCTTTCATAACTGTGATTCAAGAGTATGTGCAACACTCTTCATAAGCAATTAAAACAATGTATACATTCAAAAAAGGTTATGGGAAAAAGATGTTGAAGTTAAGATTCCTTTAATCTCATCCTGGTTTTCCTAAATATTTCATTTCTTATGATATGGCACATGATTGTCTGGTTCCACACGGACTAAAACACCCTTGTGAAACAGGTGAGCACAGTTTTGTACCCAAAGGGCTTTCCTTCTCCYTGTTGCACAAATGAGGATCAGCTACCTGGATTCCCAGCTCAGAAAGGTGGAATGCAGTGCATCTCAGCTAGAGAGTCCAAGTCCAAAAGGGCTCCTGGGCCCTCAGTTTTCACTGCAGTTTGGCCAGCACTGAGCTGAAGGAGAGGGCATCCTCCGAGCAGTTTAATGGCTAGTAACAGCACTCAGAAGTACAGCAATTAATCACCAGTTCCACTATACATCCAAGACTTTTGTTAAACCAACTATACACACATATTTTACTCTGAAACTAGACCATGTAAACCCCATTTTACACATGAACTACTAAATTCAGCTTTTCAAATTATGTCCTTTGTTAAAAAGGTTCATTTACCCTTAATGTAGCCTTTTTCACGGACAGCTTGTAATGTAGGGCGCCGTGTAAGAAACTTCTTGAGCTTCGTTTTGGTCKTCTTCTGATCTGTGGAATCTATATTGCTGGGAGCTTTCACTGCTGAAAAGAGAAACACATTTAGCATTACTACCCACAGAACCAACACTGCATTTATCAGCCAAGGAACTGACATTAAAAGAAAAAAATAATTACGCTCCAAAACACACAAAAACCTAWTCAAATTTGCAATGCATCCTTAATTTTTTCCTTACCTTTTAGGAACTCCTTGTAAATAGCATCCATTTTTCAAACCCTGTCATTAAAAACTTGCAAAATCAACTAAATGCTATCTTACATATGGAATGGATGAGGAAGTTTTAAAATGCAGCTATGTTTCAAAACCAATCCTGCCTCTCATTAGGTTAACTGTTTTAAAAGAAATACATACTTTCTTGAAAATATTATATATAGGGCCTGGAAGGCAAAGACAAAAAAACAGTCTGCCTGATTAACATATTTCTGTGCATAGGAAGTTAATTTCTGTGCCTAATAGACATTTAGTTCCAARATTCTGAAGGTGTAATTAAAAATGTTTTGTTTCTCTGAACAGCCAATACATCAGTAGCAACTTAGCAAAATTRTAGTTCAAGTTAATAGTCTAAATATTTACAGACGCTGTGCCACAGATAATAAAAAGGTAAAACAATTCCAATCAGTAAAGCAACAAAAGAATTCTTATTCAAAACTATTTATAACAGTCAGATACTATTTCTGTGCATTTGATATCACCCTGAAAAGAATTAATTTCACCACTGTTTATTTTTCCCTATTTTTAATGRGYCATACAGCAGGAGCTAAAGACATTTCACATTTTTTTCTTCTTCCTTTTTTAAAGTATGATTAATAAAACATGGAAGAAAATCTACCAAGTGGCATCAAGGTGTAGAATGAACTATATWAAGCCTGTTTCCAAACTTCAACAGTTTCATTTTTAGCTGTCCTTTGAATTCTTCTCTATTTATACATAATACTAAAGATGCAGAAAATGAAAACTGGCATTGCCAAAATAAACTAATGGAAAATTTTCAACTCACAACGAAGTTTCTTAGAATCTTTATTCTCTTTCTCTTTCTCTTTGTCCTGTTTTTCTACTCCAGGGGAATCTGGTACCTCATCATCTAATGCTTCATCAGGCTCTATTACCTGTTGGGTTTAAGATGATAGACAGTGACCAGTTAGCCAATCCACAGAATACAGCATTAGCACACACATTTCCTGCAGACAGTTCTACAGTACACAGCTTTGCCCTCTATAATGACATTCATTTGGTTATTTCCTGWACTCTAAGCATCTTCAGAGACAACACCATTCTCAATGGCAGAGTGAGTAACTTTGAGAAACATTATTTTATCCTAAGACTCAATAATGAAAATGCTGCTGGACATTGAACAAMGTACAACCAGCCTTTCATGATAACAATTCATTACATCAACCAATAAACAACAGAAATTATTTCTGATTTGGCTTATTTTCCAAATCCAGCAGACAATCATCAGCTTGTTAACYRTCTGCCACAGAAATGCCAGACTGATAGAGTTGAAAAAACATTTCTAGAGCATTCACCCAATTTGTTACCTCTATAAGTAAAATTTTCTTAATAGAAAATAGAACTGGTAATTGGAAAATCTCACTACTGTCAAAACATACACTGAATTCACTCTGAGAAAATAAGTGTACCAATGCCTAAAATTCTTGCCCTCTGTTCCTGCTATCTCAGCATATTCTCATTAAACACTGTTAAGTGAAAACACAGTTCATGTTSAAGAGTGGAGACACATAACAGTGTGCAGATCTTACCTGCTGCCTCATACCCATGCTACGTGCATGGCTGCAGACATACCAGGAAATGGGAAAAGAAACTTCCTCCATCTCAGTACAACATATTCCCTTCCCAAACTGTGTTTCTTACTTCACTTCAACTGAAGTGGACTGGAGTGCTACGCAGTTGCCAAAATCTGACTGCAGAGTGCCTTCTCTTACAAGGAAGGGCACTGTAAAAATGAGGCAGGGTTGTGCACTCCAGAGCACTGAGTGAGCAGCAGCATGACTTCATGGRCTGAGCTGCACTTTAACCTGTAGGGCAGTGTCAGCTTTAAACACCTTCATTCCTATTCCTTTCAAAAGCTTTGGATAGCCTTTTTACACACTGAAGATCAATATATTCAACTGCCTTRCTCCTTAATGCATTAAGGATCCTCTGTCAGTCCTCAAGAGGCCTCAAAGCTCTTTAGGATTGGCACATTTTAAAATTATTAAATGCTTTGGAAAAAAATCACGTGGGATCTAGTTTGTACTACGCAACAAGTCTAATGTAAAAACCTGGAAATTGCTGTATTTAAAAAAGAGTAGCCACATCCTTTGCAGTTAGCTGTTCCTCCTGTACAGCATATTGCTATGTCAGCAGCCTGAGGGAGCAAAGAGAACAGAATCTGACCTGCCCCTTCTTTTGAGGAAGATCTTGTCATGCCAGAACTTGTGACTTGGCCATGGGAAAGAGATTCACAGCTACTGCTTTCCCAAACTAGAAGCTGGCTTGAGATCTGATGGATTTTTGTACCCAAAGCTTCAGTGCTTCAGATTATCAGGTAGTCTAATGCACTTTCTTCATTAATGCCTTCTAATCTTTGGTCTATAGACTAGCAGCTCCCAGCAGTAAGACATCACCCCTTCCCCCAGARTGCTGAAAAACTCTCCTCATTCCACAATTCACTTCCTCAATCTAATCTTGCTCACATCTCAGGTATCTCAGCCATTCCATCTTCACTCATTTTCAAGCAGGGGGGACAGGAGAAGAGTGTCACTGAGTGACTGAGTGACACTGCCTTGCCTGGTTATTATCGGCCATGACATTTCCATACCAGGAGAGAGCAGAAGATTAGGAACCTACACACTGAGCACTCAGAAAGAAATGAAACCATTCATATTAGGCTGCTGTGTTTTGGTGGAAAACACCCATATGTGGAAAACACTATCAGAGCTAAGAGAAATGAAAGCCACTGAATGGCATTAAAAGCAACAAAAATTGAGCTTATGGACAGTAGCCAAACCACGAACTATTAAAAAGTAAGAATACACATGAAGTAAACTTGATATGAGAGCAACATTTTCTCCAAGATCTCCTCCAAATTCTGAATTAAAAAAGGGYTGATCTTGTTTGGCAATATCAAGTGCAAATGCTTGAGCACTTTTCTGATAATGAAATACTTTGTATTATGCTGTCAGATAAAAAGAGATAATACAGTATCTTGCCAGGGCTTTTAATCTGCACTTCAGTGCAGTCACAGTAAGTGAAGAGCAGTATCAAATGCTAACAAATTTATGTCATTAAGTCATCTCTTGGCCATTGTCCCCCCTTCATTCTCTCTGTACCAGAACCTTTCACATCACTGAGACAGAACAAGTATTTGGCCACAGAAGGAAGTTAATTTCTGAGATGGATATCAGCCCACACCTCCTGGATCTTAATCTAATGAGTCATTTTCTTCCTTTGCCACTACTAATCATATTTCACTCACCACCACCCAGAACCTCCATATCCTCAAACTCCTGCCTGCTCTCATGAAAATCAGTAAATGAAGATGCACATGAAGCATTAGAAGCTGTTTTTACAATTAGTTTACCAAGTAATATTATTGTAAAAATTGAACCTTCCTGATTGAAAGACATACCTGATTACTGATRGTGTAGTTAAGAACTTGATACCATTCATTAATAAAGCTGTCATTATCTGATTGAATTAAGAGCTCAGTTCCGTGGCGGGTTTTTATCTTTAAAGAAATTAAACCAGATATCATCAGAATTGGTAAACATACAATAGTTCAAAAGCAAAATTACCTAAATCAAATTAAACTTATTGCTGGCAAAATCGTTAGCCACTCAAGAACATTTACCAGTGAAAACAGCATTAACAGCCTGCTTAAAATTGAAATGCATATCCCATACAGACATATTAAAAATGGACATTTCTTGCAAGACTAAGATAACATCTACATTTAAGCAGGCAGAAGTGGACAAAACTCAGTTTCATGAGTTTTTGACTTAAGAGTATAGAGAAAATTTCTTCAATCAGTAATTGAAGTGCATACAATTCTGCATTTAAATAAAATTATTTACCTCAAAAACATTCTTCTTGCTAGATTTGTCCTTCGAGGCCCTGTCAATCAAAGCCCCCTTGAGATCCACTGTAAATTCTGGYTTAGACTGATTGACACCAAACTTCTGGAACAAAAAAGGAACAATGATGATAAAATTAAACCCAAAGAAAYTCCTTACAGTTTTGCCATCTTTTAAATATAACATGTATTATTTACAGTCTAAACAACTTAAACCAAATACAATACTTTCCCACAAATGAACAGGCATAACACCAGGAAAACAAAAAACCTTCCACAGAACAACCTTTAAGCATGTCTACTACAAGCTGCTCAGCTTAAAGCCCTCAAAATTCCATAAATTTAAATGTAAATCAGATCCCAGCAAAGCTTTTTTTCCTATCACAAAGGGTAGAAGTCCAGACAGCATTTGATTGTAGCTTGATTTTAGTCAAGATAATCCCAAGCTTATACAAAACCGCTAATAAGAAACTGAACAAAAAAACTCCAAACATTCTGCCACTTAATCAGTGGTTGCATATAAAAACAAAAATCAAACCAGAAACAGTAGGTTTGCTGACAGGTATCACATCCCTCCACACTGAAAGAGCACTCTCAGTTTGTACATTTATCTATATATCTTTATCTATTTATTTTTTTAAAAAGCATTTAGCCCCCAACACTTTTATATTTTTCTGTAGTGCTTTCTATGGCAATACTGGAGCATGTCCTACCAAGTAAACAGAACTCACTGTCTATCTCCTAAAAAAACCCAGCCAATAAACAAAACTATGAACAAAAAAACCCCTACATATTTAACCCACAAGTAACCCTTCAAACAATTTAGAGGAAAACATCAGGGAGCTCCTACTTTCACATTCATATTAGGTATGAGAATGTTTTGAAATAAAGTGCTTTTACTATGATTTCAACATGCAATGTTGAAATTTTAAATGTTGAGATTTTAAATKTAATTCCTCAAGGAAACCAATTCAGTGGCCCATACAAACAAAAAGTTCTAATTGTGAGTGAGTAAAATATGGAATGGGGAAAGATGTAAGTCACTCAGTTACAGCACAGAAATTTCATGCTGGAGTTCCAGGGAAAGCTTGTAGCATCTGCTCCCTCAGAAAGGCTCTTTTCTTATTTCTTTACAAAGTCTTTGATGTGTGAATGCTGTTCCTGCGACAGCTCTGGGGGATCTAAGCCCCAGGACAAGCTCCTTGCTGCAAACACAAGTTTCCAGCCTGTACAAGAACAGCCATATCCAAGGGGAGAAAAAATGGTTCAGAAAACAGGACTAATCTGCTGCCACTGATTAAACTCCCAGCATGGATGTTAATTAATGCTAATTGTGTTTCAGACAGGCTGTTTACCACTGGAAAATCTCCACGCCTAGAGTCCTCAGGGCAGTGAAGTGTTGAATRGAAAGTAGCATCTTAACTTCTTTATTTCACCAGTGAAATATCAGAATAGGGCTGTATTTCTAATTTACCCAATGCCAATTAGMACTTGGGAAAAAAGATCCCCACCACCTTTCCCTTTCTAACTTAATTCTCAAATACCTCATCCAAGCACATTTCTTATTAATTATAGTACAGCTTTTGAGAGAGGCTCAAGCCCAGCAGCRGAGGCCACAGGAACAATCTCTGGGCCATTTTGGCTCTTGCAGCTGCTGCCTGTTTAAGAGAAAGTCATGTAACTGCTGCACACACATCCAAAGAGTCCCGGACACGCACTTCCTGGCTGCCTAGATCAATCCTGCTGCGTGTTGGAAAAAAAATTAGATCAATTTATAGAGTTTGGCACTGGAGAGAACAGGAAATAGAGCCAAAGTCCTCAACATGACTGGGGGCAGTGGGGTGATTAGTTAAAGCCATGGTCCAGACAATGCTGAGAAGCACAGGAAAGGACTTGCYACAGGTGACATCAACACACAACAAGGAAAAAATGTTAACTGTCAGTGCTGCTTTGACCAAAAGCAAAGCCCCCCAACACATCAGCTTGGTGAACTCCACACTGACACATCACAGCACCACCTCATGCACCCTTACACTCTACCCATCCTTTTGGCYTGGCTCCCTTCAGCATTTCAGAGCAGCACAGAAGAAAGCAAAAACTAAAGCTAAACAAGGGGGAAAAACAAAGTCTTTCACCAGTCCTTCACTCAAATGGTGGCCAAACAGCTGTGTGAGATCCAAGGATAGGGAAACCCATGCAAATAATCCAGCTTCCCTGCAAAGCTCTTCTGCTACACCACCACATTATACACTCATCACAACTTCTTTATTCAAGGACATTTGAAGTCTACCATGAGCTTTTCTCTCCTTTGAGCTTTCTTTTCTGCTCCTGGGTCTATGAAAATGAGAGATGCCAGCAGCCATTGCCCTCCTTAAAGCTTTGAGGAGCAAGTGCTGCACAGGGCTGCTCAGACACTCTGCACACAAGGTCTGAAGCTTGTGATAGCTGAAGGTGATCGAAAMCTCCTGAAGCCAGCAGGTTCTACTGGCAGAAGTAAAAGGAAAGCCTTTCCTTTTGCACCTGCTCCCACACAGACATTAAGTCTGCTTTCTCAAAACAGACTGTGCTACCTAGTCAGCACTGGTCASGAGAAATTCAGCTCTTACTGAGCAGACACCTTACTCTTATTGGATTTCTCTTTTGAGCTGTCTGGGAAGTTTGCAGAGGGCAGCAGTGTGAGATGGAAAGAGGGAGAGGTGTATAGGTGGTGCTGCCTGCTGTCCTGGACATAAAGCTGTCCTACAGTCACTTGTGTCAGCTTTTTTTAGAAAGAAAACCATAGCCATAGGATGTGCTTATGCTGGTTGTATGGCAGAGGYAACTTTTTGGAAAGAATGTTTTCTTTGCTTTAGAGTAGATGCTTTGCAGCTTAAGGATAGCCTTGGAGATGTGTACTGACATCAATAAATACAAGGCCTTTWCAATCTTTTCAGGATTTTCTCCAAGTCCTGGAAGCTTGCACAGGAAGTACTCTGATACCTTCTAGCATTCTTTAGAAACAGAACTGGAAGTTATTTATGGGAAGACTTTGAATGTACAAATGACACATAGCATTCTTGTAATTCTGTTTCTATTTAGAGTTGTGTAGGATGCTTCAATTCCAAGTCCACCTCATCCATGGAGGAATTGTGGAAAGAAAGCTAAGGAGACAGATGCACCTTTTTGGCTGGTAAGGGAGCTTCAAAACTTAGAGCTTAAAAAAGAAAAAGAAAAATACATTCTTTATTGTCACAGAAAAAATGATGGGKTTTTTTTTAAACCACCCTGATAGGAGCATTTGCATTCCAAAAGGCTTTCACAATGAGCATCTGAGCTCCTGTATAATCAGCAGTGCAATTCTGATGATCTGTAGCAATGTACACTTAACATCCTTGGCTAAAAACACAGTGGCATAACATAAACAAGGGTTTGCTCAGATGAATCTTGAAGAGCATTTATTTCCTTGATATTTGGGAAGTTTACAGGCTTGGTGTGCCACCACTGTACTTGTCACTATTACACAGAGCTGACAGAAGAATCCTTCTAAGCAGTTGCCATTTGCCATATGAAGCCCTGTCACAGAATTTGACAACAGCTAATACATCTCATTCACATCAAAGGCTGAGTGAAAAAAAAACATTCAAAAAAATACCAATCTCCTTATAAAAAGTAACCTTTTACAGGTTATCAAAATGTTCACAAATTATCTGTTCCAGGCTTCCACATACAGAGCAATTAATCTGACAAACAAGAAGAAGAGTTGCATCATTTTCAACACAAGATTAATTGATAAATTTTTGATAGGCAGCTCTTCTGTGCTTGGCATTTTCAAAACATAACTACGGATGCTTAAATTACATATGAAGAATCCTAAAAATTTATRTCAGCTTTCTGTATGTGGAATATARCTAGAACATCCTTGCGCTCTTTTTCTTTCATCTCTTCATGCATAACATTTACATTTTTGGGTATTCCAATTACAGCTAGAATTACCAAACAACATGTACACCATTGTATCAAAGGTATCATAGGCACCATACAAAGATTCTAAATTAGTTCTGTTAGAAAGAATCAGACACAAAATATCTGTTAAAAAACTCAGCATATCATGCTGCTTATTAGTCAAGGCACTGGTGGTTCAAGTAGTAGGTAAATTGGGGATTATAATTCTGGCACCAATGAACCAGATACACTTTCTACTTTGTTGCAGTAGAACAATTGCAGGATTATTGCAAAAAACTTGTGTTAATTTGCACCTTGGCTAGCTTTCAAAAACAGCAAACAAGATATATGAGGTGTTATATGAAGTGTCAAAACTAATCTTGGAAAACTTCGAGTTTACTTTCAGGATTAGTGGCAAATAGCCTTACAGCGACAAGAGGCATGCAACAGGAACACATACAGTGATAGCTGAGACTTGGGCAGAGTTTACATAGGTGACAGCAGGTCGACGACTGAGAGCATTTTTCCAAGAAGAAAGCAGCGAGAGCAAGAGCTCAGGAATTGAGCCCCCTTGGCAAAATGACTTGATGAGAAAAAGGAAGAAAAGTGATGAAGTCACAAAACAATGYACAAAAAAAGAAGATATGGTTATATCAATCACTAGGCGAATGCTAAATATTCTTCTCATAAGATGAAGAAGAAATGTAATACTTATTGTATGTCAAATTGCTAGACTTGACTTCACCTTATTAAAATAAAGACACAGAACAAAGTTGGAGAGGTGAGGTGGAAYTTTCAATTAAAAAAAAATCCTAGAGACCTAGAAGAGTGTGTGCTGAATATTTAATTACGTAACAAAGCCAACTGTGACTATGGWGGTGTAAAACACCTTGAAAAAAATTCCAGCTTAATATTTCCAGCTTCATTTCATTCAGTTTGTACTGTTGATATTTACTTTGCTGACCCTACTCTAGTGCTTGACAGTACACACAACTGATTGTGGCTTACAGAAATATTGTGACTATRGGACTTTTGCTCCACTTAAATTATCAAAAGAACTTATGCATTTTTATTTTAAAATTTATTTATTAAACTTTTATTTACTTTTAAATTACTCTATCTGGATGGCATAACAACTTACCCTAGTGCCCATAAATCATGCATCTCTACTTATTGCTTATCTTTTATGGCTAATTAATTTGGGCACAAATCATTTGTAACATCATACATGCATGAACAGTTTTTAGCATTGTGAATTCTAATGATATCAATATACAGCTGAAAAAAACAGTCCTTCTGATCTACAGCTGGACTAGAATTAAGAGTATTAGTAGCTTTAATTGAGATTTTGGAGCTTGACTAGTTATCCAAGCAAAAGTTTTAYCTTCCAAATATGCATAATAATATCCGTGAAACTACAATACTATTTGGATCCTTGGCCATAAAAGTCAACCACAGAGGTCACCAAAATCCACTTCCTACCATACAATGTAATTTACCTTCTCTCGTGCTTTCTGCCTTTATTGTTTTTCCTTTCCTTTCTTTTCCCACTGCTTGACCATCTTTCCTAACTTTACCCTTTTTCATTCTCTTCTACTCCAGATTTTATTTATCCATCCTCACCCATTATTTTTGTACCAACCCTTTAACTGAAGGGGGGAAAAATATATTTACAGGTCTGAAAAAAACTCAATGCCATAGAGAAGAATTGTCCATTTCAATTCACTACCCATAATGAAGCGCAGCAGGAGAAAGTGAGCCAAGTAGAAAGATCACTAAAGCACAGCAAGATAGCACAGATCTGTAAGAGGCAATTTTGCTGGAATTCGCATGATCATACRTGGAAATAACGAACACTGACTCTGGCCTGTCTTCAGTTATTACAGGAGATCCACACAGTTTAATGTCAGACCTCCAAAAGAGSCTAAGTAAGCTGTAGATAAAGAGCTATTTCTATGCCTATTAATGTAGGAATGCAGCTGGATAAATATAGCAAATTTAATTATAGTGCTATTACTCTAGAGGTGATTTAAAAAATTGAGTAATCATCATCTTCAGTGTGATGTTTCTCTTCTGGTCTTCATCAGACAACAAAATAAGTGCAAGAACTTGTCATGCACTATGAAGATCTAAAACAAAACATGGAATCCAGCAAGACAAAGACTAAATCATAAGACAACAACACTGCATTACTCAAATAGTCCAACACAAGGAGCGTCAGACTATTTTCTTTAGTACACGGATCACATTCAAAATTACTTGGCATTTATAAAAAAATCCAAGGATGGTAAAACAAATTGTTTAGACAAACACATTAGTAAGGAACACAAGTATCYGGCCTGAAGAAAACACTTCAAGCCTATGGGGCACCTGAACATTATCAGTTTCCTGTTTGTCAAAGATACAAACATACAGTTGGTTTTCTTATCATACATTATTATACAACATAATTGTTACATTAGTTTTTTTTTGCCCACTTGCACAGTTGTTTTTTTCCAAATTAGATATATATATATATATATATATATATATATAGGTATTTAGGCCCTGCAAATAAGAGGGCTTTAATTTACTGTGCTTTACATGACTAACACTTCAGTGAGGATGGGGGTTGTTCCTGAGCTTACCCAGCCAGTTCCACTTCCTTGGGTTTTAGTGAACAGCAGTGATGACCCTTGTAACACTGCCCACGATGACATCCAATTCTTTCTGTAAATAATTGTAAACAAACACAAAATAAACTGACTCTGAAAGCAGATATTTAAACCGTCGATCATTGTTGCTCAGCTGACCTGTATGTTAATGTTCTTTTGCACATATACAGTCATTAGTGGCATCAGTAAGTCTTAATTGCTATCATATTTGTAGAAGGGAACATATGTTAACAATCCCAGCCTGACCATCAAAGTCTAAATCAAACAAAGCTAATTAGTAGTAGAAGCAGTTCACCAAGAGAAACACCATGCAATTATAATTTCAAAGGGGCTAATCTGGAACACTCGGCCTACTGTGTACTTAACAGATCATGCCAAAGTACTGCATAATTCTGAAATTCATTGATCTGAGATGCAAGTGTGCCATGTTTATGTAATAAGCTCATTTACATAGGCAATAAAATATTTGCTACACATCTAAACATTTAAGAAAAAGAATGAGTCGTTTCAGTTGTCTGACTACTTGATTTCATGCCAGCAGACCCATCCTCCAGAGGTTATAAAAAAATAAAATCCTGACAAGCCCTGCATATCTATTCCCATTGCCCAACATAAATTATTACTTAACAGCTTTCAAAGTGACAGGATGGCCACATTGCATCTTTCTGTTCAGCAGAGCAACAATCCAGATCAATGATTCCAACAGATGCAACATAAATGATGAGAGCACACTGTACCAGCTGCAGCTTACAGTAGCACTGTCCACACAGTCCCACCAAATTCTTAAAAGCAGCTCTGAGGAACCAAACTGGAGGTCAGATGTGCTGCCCAGCTGCACTGGACAAGGTCAGGGTGGCTCTACAATAACAGCTGGGTGTTGGCTATTTAATCCTCAGGATAGGCATGCTTCATGCATCGCAAGCCTGGGAAACACTGAACTAGATGTAACACACTATTAGATCTGGAAGATTAAATTAAAAACAAAAAGGAAAAAAAAGGCAAGAAGCAAACCTAAATTAAATCTGAGCATGTGCCACACTTCTGCAGTATTTGCAAAACACCAGAAATGTAGTTATCCAGCATCACTTGATTACACTTTATGATTTACAGTGCAAATTGCTGCCTGGGAGGCAGAGAAAGAAGTTAGAAATGAGGTCACTTTCACCTACAGAAGACTGATGCTGGGCRATACACTGCTCCAAACCCTTCACAAGCACAGTGCAGGAAGAATTAGGGATCACATGGCATGTGCAGTCCTTGGAAGTTAAAGGACAGCAAGTCTGAAAGCTCTTACACTGATTTCATCCAAGGAACGAGACAGGCTATAGTCGATACAAATTTGCTCCTAAATAAATCAATCAATCCCATTTTAAAAAGCTGTCTCTCATCAATGCACCTTCATGAAATCACTGCCCTGTGTGAAGCCCTGATACATGAGCCTSTGGCTCCCTGCAGTCCATTATCTTTGGCTCACTGGGAAAAACACGCGGGATAAGGTTAACGCTGTCTCACACAGGAAAACCTCTATGGCAAATTCAGACAAAAAGTAACAAGTTGCAAACCCACTGTGCTGTCCTAATATAGAAGACCTTTCATAAACCCTAAGTACATGCACTTTTACAAGTCCAAGACTTACCGAACTTTCTTCCCATTTTCTGTAATTTTTGTCACATTTAATAACCCATACTTTTCTTGACCCTGCAAGATAAGAGAAAGACATTACAAATATAAAAGAAAATCTGCTTCTATTAACATCGCATCACAGAATTCAAAGCCCTACATAATCCATTTCTGGCAATGAGCCTTCTTTGCTCATGTTATAACTTCAAGAAACTGTCTTTAAGCATATTTAAATATTGAGAGATCAGCAAAATCAAAATTCCTCTGGGAAAGTACTTATTACCATTCAGAGGGTAAAAAGCTTTCATTCATCAAGACCAAGGCTCTTTGGACAAGCCAAACTAAATAATTTGTGATAGTAGACAGTGAAAATTATGAATTGAAAATTAAAATTATTTCTATAATAGCACATTAGACCTTTACTAAAAAAGGAGGTGGCTGACCAAAAAACCAGCCTAAATTCTGTGACAAATTCTTCCAARTAATTTTAACATTATTTCATATTTTAAATAAAACATGATTGAAGTGAACGTGTTCAGGCTAAAAACAGAAGAGTGAAGCATTTCTTTGATGTCCTCTTTTTTCCCTATCCCCAAGGAAAACAGCAGAATTTTAAACTACTTAGTTATGTCTTGTTGATGAAAACCATCTATGTTAGTTTRCCTATAAAAAAATCTGAAGACCAGTCAGTGACTAGTGAGAAAAGAACACTGCTGAACAAGAAGGCTGTTGGAAAGTTTCAAAATATTTGGAGTGAATAATTCTAGGCTCTGTGTAAAAATAATAAAATAGAGGAATGTTCAAAAAAGCATTGTAGGATAAAAAGATTCACTAAAAGCATTGTCTTAAGATGAGGTATCAAATTCTATCATTTTCTTCTGACACCCCAGCCTTGTCCTACCAATCAGTGGTGCTAAAAGAACATTACATTATTTTTTTATCAATTCCTTTTCAGTAACAGCTGCTAACAGTTTCAACTAATAGCTYATTTCATAAATTAGGAACGATCAACTAGGGAATGGGTCCAAATTAGTTTTATCGTTAAAAAATGACCTCAATTTTAGATCCAATGAAAAGACAAAATAAATCCTCTTCAGCATTTTCCTCTAAATCTCAAATTTAAGTAGCCCATGACTGCACAATAGAACTTTGAAGAAATTTTTTTTTGCTGGAATACTGTGATGATACTGTTACCAGAGATATAGATCTGTTTTTCTTTCATGGACCCTTAAAAAATTTTACCGACATGTTTCAAGAACAGCACATAAAATACAGAGGAGACCAATTATCAAGAACAAAGGTGTTTAGCTCGTGGATCAGGTGTTACTTCAGTCCAATGGTAACTGCTACTCTTACTTAATCGAAAACCTTCACTGGGTTGGAATGCTTTCCCAAGCCAGTGACAGATGCATTGTTTTCCAAAACTSATATTTTCAACAGAAGTGCATCCTTTCCCTTACACCCTTATCTCCAAAAAGCCAAACAAATGAATTATCCTGTTCTTTGGACTCCTTTATTTGTGATCCATGCAGACCATGTACCAACAGTGCTATGCATTGCACCCTTCTAACAAACCTTTGGCTTCAACAAGCAGAACAGTCTGTCACCAACTTTCACAGTGACTGGGACACCTGTGCTCACTTCCCGAAATAAATCACAGTTTTAATCAATTACTCACAGTGGAAYCAGTGAGGATGCTCTAGAGAATTATTCAAAGTACCATACTGCCCTACTTAGCAACAACACTAGGGGGTACTAACGGGAAAATTAATGGAATCAGGAAAAAGAAGAGGAAAGCAGGTTAAGGATCAAAATCCTTAAAAATTTGCCAGCTTTCTTTGGAATATTTAAATTCTAGGGGACAGCTAAAGAAAATACAGAATTTTTTTCTCTTATCTAAATCACGAGTGAGCTCTTCTGCAGAACACAATTTCAAGAATTCGAGATCTGAGCCATATTGAAAGAACTAAGATCACATGCACCAGTAATTGCTTTTGTGTAAGGCTATCAGCTATGCTGGCTTAATAAACAAGGTTTATTTTATTGTGCAAAACTGTTTGAAGYGTTGTAAGAATGGATTATCACGAATAAGCCAGAGAACTATTCCCCTGCATGCAGAGTAAGAAAGAAACAGGAGTTCTGCCTGAGGTAACTACCAAAGGGCTGCCAAAACTGACCAAGTTACTTACTGCAATGCTACTATAGTACAGTTTCAATTTTTTTAAGAGTTTTTTAATCCATTTCCCACTGTTTAAAAAAGAATTATCACATTTAAAATATAAACTGAAATTTAAAAAGCCATGTAACGAGCTTAGGTCTTTCTCCCAGTGGTTATTCTACTGAATCAAAAGGACATGGTTTATTTATGCCAGGTCTCCTATGTCTCTTTAACACAGAAACAAATTTAGCCAAAATTAGAGATATCAAATACTATAAGGTATTACTGATTACCAACAGTGAGGGATTCTGTGAAGAGGKGGAATTTGTTTCTGTTTTTACCTTTCACAATGCTACGTGAGAAGATCTGACTGCTGGTGGAAGCAAACTGAGTTCCACATAATTTGGCACTATTTGGCCACAGTGAATTTCTAACTTAATCCACTATCATTAAATTACATTTAAACCAAAGGCATTTCACATTTTTTCCTGAAAGCAAAGTGGGATGTAATGCAGTCCTTTTAAAATGTAAAGCCTTCAAACAGTTTTATCCCATTATTTTTCCCAACAACAGGAAGGCTTACCCTCAATTGTCTAACCATGAATAGACCAGTTTCTACAACATCTACTTATCTATTTAAACACTTTGCATACTGACTGTGGCTTGATGCTTTGGTGAAGAAGGAGATGACTCATTTTCAGCAAAACTGGCCTTAGAAGCAGTTGATGATTCCTATAAAATTCAAATAATCAACGTCAGTTATTATCTTTCTTAAAATTCTCTTAAATTTTTTTAACCCAAAGATACGTTCTCTTTTTACACACTTACACATTAGAAAAGTACTTATTTTGAACATTCATAATACTATCAGACAGCAACATTTTAAACTTGCTTACTAAACAGTGTTCTTATAAGATTTACAGACAACACTCAAACTCGGTTAATTAGTACATAACCATTTGAAAAAAAGATGTTAAAACATGCTGTATCAGCTTCAAGTGAAGCCTTCATCCTTATTAAGGGGTAGATTTTTTGTATGACATTGCTATCAAATGATGAAGTATATTTAAAATAGCTTATTACAAGATACCATATAATAAATACCATGATTTTAAAGAACACAATATGTCTCTATGTGGCTGGTAAATACAAGATTAGCATTTTAAAAGTGTTATATGTAGAAAAACATATACCAACTCTATTAATTTTTGTGAGTCATGATCATTAATTTCCTTATAATCAAACACAGAAAATCTCTAGAGATTTGGGGTTGTGTTTTGAACTGTTAACTTCAGACGAAAATAAAATGCTAAATCTCTGAAAACCAGAAAAATTGCCCATCTGGAGCAAAAAAAAAAAAAATCATGTGCATTTCCTCTGAAGTAATGAATGTTTTGCACAAACACATTGCATGAAAATCTGGTAAAGAATAACAAATGGAAGAACAACATCACTTGTTCTTCATTACTGTTAACACATTTCTCCCCCTCTCTTTTTAATTCCCTTGATAGATCTCTCCCAAACCCAGTTTGCAGCATAACACAGCACTCTGCACATCGTGCTTTAAAATTCACTTGCAAATCTACCTCCAGGAGTGGCCCCCTCGTTCTTTTAGTAGCATAATAACAGAGAACTTTAGCACCCCTAAATAGAACAGGCTAAAAGAAAAAAAAAATGTTTCAATTAAGAAAATCAACTGTCCCTCCCAGGACGGTATTCTTTCCTATGTTTATAATTTCTTAGCTGATGGCAATATCCARATATGTGCCAGAGCAAATAAACAGTTAACAAATATATTTGGTATCATCAAATTCTCATGAGCCATGGTAACCCATACTTTCACTCTGACACATTTCAAGCACTCTTTTGACTGGCCTGTTTTCATACAATTGAGTTGTGTTGTTTTTCCAAGAAACAACAAATAAGGAAAATAATAAGAAAACAACTCCCCTAGGAGACAGCTAAAAAGAAAGCTTGGGGTTCATGTGCCCATCCAGGCAAATACCAGTTTCTATTTAATTCTGAATCTAAAATAGCTTTTATACAGTAAAATCAACTCTGGAACAAGAAATTCAGTATTTGTGATAATGAACCACTACCTTTCCACATACTAATTTAAAGCAGAATATATTAACAATGTGCCTGCTAGTATTAATACAACAACTGCATTAATGCACTAAAAATTATTTGTTTTTCCACAAAATATTAGTTTATTGCTCCACTACACATTTTAAATTTTCTCAAAGCATTAATGTTGTGCTTCATATGAACAATGTTTTCCTTACCAGTAAAAAGCATATGCTGCCTACATGCTTAGAAATTTTAGGCTGCAGATGTGGTTCAAAAAGTTTATTTTAGTTATCACACATAACATTTACGCATTTTCACATTTGCTTCACCAGGTTTAAGTTCTCGATATGTGAACACCGAGCCTTGAAGGAATGTAAACAGCTCCATTTATTCATAAGAAGTTGTTTTACAACAGCTTTTTCATTCAGTGCAGCACTACATAAAGCTCTTACCAAAACAGCAGTAACTTTTTGGTTTTTGGCGTAAGATTTAAGTCTTTCTTAAGTGAAGCCAGAAATTTAAGGCATCTTCAACAAAAGTGTTCATACCTGCAAAGTATGAACTGCACATGAGACTAGAAGTGTCCACTCAGCTYTGATTTATCAGGGCTCCATCAAGGCTGTGTCTCATGTAGTGCCACAGCACACGGAGTACAGAGGGATGCGTGAGGCAGAGGAAGAGGAGGAGGGAGGGAGGGGAAAGGAGCAGCAGCGGGATCTGAGAATCGCTGGAGCAGAATTAATGCCGAGAGGTGCAAAGTCCCAGCCAAGCACGGCCCACTGCCTCCTCAACTCCATACATGAGATATCCTAAACTGACAACTCAAAAGCTCAAGATCAAATCCAATAAATCCTGTTCTGAAGAGCCAAGTCAACTCATGAAAAGCAAGTCCATTAAAATGGAAACAACAGGTCGAGCAAGTAATGCCCTGGGTAGCTGATCCACTGTCATTATGACTACTGTGTTCTGTCCATTTAAGTTTGGTTTTGACATCTGTGATTACACAAGGCCAGTCATAGGMTTTTCCTTACACTTCCAGATCCACATTCATTTAATTTCTTTCTTGGAATTTTAGAAAACGGGAGCATACAATGCCATTTCCTGGTATCTCATTCTGAGTATCCTGTGCTAAGATTTCAGCATTACCAAATCTTTCATTTTCCATGAATCCTGGGATGGACTGAAGCAAMGTTACAGAAACCAGTATGTCACCACCCTACACAACCTGTTTCAGTTCCTCCCAGCTCAGCTCACATCAAATCTGCTCACCCACAGGCMGAATGGACCAGCACAAGCAGAAATGGCTAGGAAAAGGTCAAAGCAGAGGGTGAGCAAGGGAGAGACCCAATCTCCTTGTTGGCCTAAACAGCATTTGTTACTGTACAGCCCAAAAAAACTATTAAGAACATGCCCTAAAAATGGGCAGAAAACAGCTTTTGTTGTTACTGATTCACAGCATTTTTCAGACTAAACATCAGCTCAGCTCTGAAAAGGATCAAAGCCAAGTGTTTCAGCACTGTCAGTATTGTCYTCTGCCCTTCAATAACAATATTACAACCCTACTGTAACCATGCACAGCTCTTCCCTGAATTAAAGTAGTTTAAATATTTCAAGAACAAGAAAAGAGCTACAATTCACAAAGTAACAGCAGTGAAGTTACTGAACAACCCTTGGTTTTGCTGCATGTTATACACAATGACACAAGAGACCACAAGAAAAATGGAATTTCAGAAATTCAGGCATAGTCATTTCTGGTACATTGATTGTGTCATACAGTAGAAACAAGTGGGATTTCAGCATGCTTTTTAACTTGCTCCTACCTTGTCATTGGTGTCCAGCACAATTGTGCTGTGCCTCCATTTTGTTAAAACTATTGGYTCCTGTAGCCTCCTGTCCAGACTCCTGCTCTTTATTATATCTCTCTGCTGCTGTGGTGAAGCATTATACTAAAGAAAAGAAAAATAAAACTGTAAGTAGAATCCAATTCATGCAAACAAGACCTGGACATATCACTCACATGTCTAAATAGCAAAAAATTTCAGACTCTTGATGTCACCATCCAAGGGTGTGAAAACAGCCTTGGTTTTATTTTGCATTTAGTCTTCAGAATTGTGCTTTCTCCCACAGACCTCTCTGAAGCAGTAACTAAGATGGTATGTTGGGATAATGGTCTCAATTGGCAGAGAGATATTTGGTTTCTTCCGCAACAGATACTGCTGATTTTGCAACCCAACAGGGTATTGAGAACCACCAAGGAATTACTGTAAACACAAAATTTAAACATTCACTCTTTATATTACACCAACAGTACCACAGCACCTGTCCAGCTCCTGTGTAAGAAAAACAAAACCCCATATCCTGCAGTCAGGCATTTAGATTGTTACGACTGCCTGGGAATCACTCTCTTTGACCCAAAGATTTGGGATGCCTAGGAAAGGAGATACAAGAGTGAGGACTCGCTTTTTCAGAATAAACACATCAAATTGCTTATAAAATAATTTRTCAGTGTGGAATGTACATACCACGTACAAATGTACACATTCCATAAGCATGGGAGATAAATATTTAGCACRAAATAATTTTAAGACTTAGCAGAGCTGTAACATCCAAGGAGAGACCRTATTTATCATAACATAGGTTTTCTAGTAACTCAAGAGCATGTAAACTCACTGAGAAAACAGGAAGGTCATGGGAAGGACACAGCATTTAACTAGATCTCAGAATCGCAGCAGAATTTTCATTAATGGTGCTGCCATTTTACATCATCACAATCAGTACGTTATAAAAAATTCTAAAAATATTTCAAATAAAGTTTAATACTGAAAACGCAAACAAGACAACGTTAATGCATGAGGTTTTAAAGTAATTTAAAAAAATCTCATTCTTTCTAGTCAGTATCAAAAGACTAAAATCCACACATAGAAAGAAACTGAAGGCAGCATTTGTGGAGTGATGTAAAGCGCTAGAATCCACCAGGTAAAAAGTAACAAAGGAAAGTCAAGTGCCCTCTTTACTTCAGAAGGCTAAAGCAATATTTTTGCAAGGACACTGAGTTCTACAGTCTCCCWGCTGATTCCTGCTGAAAGCTCAGAGCCTCAGGTGTTCAAAGACAGAATAACCTATACCTGCATATACCATTAAAGCATGGCAAGTTTTAASCTAAACAACACAAACACTAAATATAACCAAATTTGCATAATACTGTTATATTTAYTGCCCAAATAAAGAACCAGCATTGCTACTGCTATGGCACTCATWATGCTTGAGTTAGCTTTGTATTTTACTATGAACAGAATTAATGCTCCARTAAGTCAACAGATGCTTAAAAGTTAAATAACTTTAGCATAAAACACTCCCAAGGGAACAGATGTTGCAGTACTGAGAATAAAATTCAGTAGTTCACATACAGACAGAAATACAGTGGCTGTCACTGCAGAAAGTCACTTCCGAGCCTGCACTGCCTTTGCACCGGGTTCAGCACATTTGCACTCACATGACAACTGCTTCCTCACAATGCTGAGGCTGAAGCAGCTCTCAGTTTGTCTCCCTGTTAAATCAAAAGCTGAGCCATGATCCATGCTGAAAGGACCCTAGTACTGGCTGCTTTCTTGTTATGGAAATATCCACTCTGCCGGTGTTCCTACAACCCAAACCAAGCAGCAACCTGAGCAACATGCAGCAAAATTGCCTTGCCAATATTAAAACTAAAATCTAGATAATTTTCAGCAAAACTTAAATCACAAAGGCTAAAACAAACAGCATTCCTTGCAGTTGTTCTAACCCATTTAAGTAGCAATTCAAACACATTTCTCGCTATGAAACAAAACTGTTTATTTCAGAAATGGATTTACACAGTAGTGACACTGGTATATATTATTTATGGAAATTTTCCATGCACTTGCCATTTGAGTAACTCAAAGAATTGAATAAACAAATAAGCATTTTGAAGTAATTTATCATGAATTTAAGTACATGTTAGAAGTTAGGATATGGGCACAGGTGATCTATATTTAAGTGGTGCCGTTGATACTATCACAAGCCCTCAGGAGTTAACTTCTCTAACAGACAGCTCCATTTTGAAGAAAAAAGGAACGATAACATGAAATTCAAGTTTTACTAAACATGTTTAACAAGGAAGCAAAGCAACRTTATGTGGAGCTCCTGAACAAAGCACTGCTAACAACTCATGAACACTGAGCTCCATGCATCTCAGTTTAAATAATTTGCATTGGTGATACAAATAGTGTTAGTAAACTGACAAGTCTTTAAAGGGAACATTTTACATTTTTGCCCCATTTCCTCACAATAGAGACTTCAAGTAAACCTTTTTTTTCTCAGATATCTATGAGGTTTTTTGTTGGTTTGTTTTAATTATTATAAATAGCAAAACACACCGAGGAGGGAGGGTGATGTGGAAATAAAAAGTTGTGTTTCTGGGCTCGAGACAAGCCTCCACTTTTTGAAGAAATGAATCGGTCTGTGATCTCCAAAGAGAATCAGAGGCACCACTCCAGACTGTGCATTGTCCAGCAGAACTCACCATCCTCTAGACCAGGCAGAGTCCCCTGGCTTGGGAGAGGTGGCCAGAGCTGGAAGCCTTGACTGGTTGGATGACACCGCCCTGCGACTCTTTGCTCTTCTCCCAAACAATCTTAGCCCAAAATGCCTTGCAGAACAGTTTCAGGTTCAGTTCCCTTTCTGACACTCTACAGGACTCCCACTTCTCTCTCCTCCTGCATTTGCAGTTTTTATCAGTATTTATCAGAAACCAGGCTAGGCTTTCCTTCCCTCAGACAAAATCTTGTTTTTACATAACCATAAGCAGGCTTTCTGTGCCTAAGACTTGGTGTAATCTTGATCACAGAGATCAAGCAAGGGCTGTCCACTGTAACAAAACTGACCCATTCAAGACTACATTGCCTGGTGGCCAACCCCTGCTACACCATGTGCCTTAAAAGCATCATCTTTGGGTGCACAGATATTTCCCTAACTCTAAAGCATTTTGAAATGTAGCACACAACTCCAAATTCACACACTACTGCTCGTCAAAAAGCCTCCACAAACTCAAATTTCTACCTTTACATTGACCCCTCTGGCACTTCACCTCAGCTTGTTCCCCATTTCTTTGGGAGCATCTCCTGTCACACAGGGGGCACGTGAGCAAATTGCTCATTCTCTGACTGCACACACCAAACGAAACTGGGATTTTTTTTGTAACAGCTCTTGCTGTAGGTTAAGGACACCACTAGTGTAAATTTAGGTCACRCAGTATTCTTTTCATTGAATTTGTTCACTACCTTCTCCAGCTACTTAAAGGCCTTCTTTGCCTCGGTATAAAATTTTCTAACCTTCTCAACCGRCTGAATGATTTCTAGTTAATTTTAAGCTGATACGTGGCATGGCTCAAGGCTCTGTCCTAGCCTAAYTGTGGCTGAAACAAATGTAACACCTCCAAGTTATTTGTAGCAGTCGTCCCCATTCYTACAGAGACGACACAAATCTGTCAGCTTTATGAAACAGAAAAAAGMTTCTTCTTGGTTTGTGTTAGCAACATCTTTAAGCCAGATGAAAGGAACTGGGTGGGCTAAAGGAGAAAAGACTGTAAAGCAACCAATACTGAAAGTTGGTAAAGACCTGAAGTGAAGCCTTTTCCTCTACCTTACTGCGATCAAAGATCAAACAGCAGCATTTAAAAACATTGTGCTATCCGAGTAGCCTTTGGGCACCTCATATGTTATTTGCAGTTGTCCCAATAGACTGTCTGAAATAGAAGAATCTTCTYYGAAAAAAATTAAAGCTGCCTCRGATAAAAATGACTTTCTAGTGCTCCTACTGTCCTTGGCTTTGAATAAATGTCTTTGGTGTTGTGACAGATACAAGACCTATGTTATAGGTTTTGCTTTTCTTATCAGCTAAATCTGTAACGCATTTTCTTAAACCTCTATAAATAAATAAATCAGGACTACTTTTGTCCTTTTAAGGACTGTTTCCCTTCCTTTCTCTAGGGAATCCTCACTCTCTGCCATAGCATGTCAGGGTGGCAGCCGTTGGAGGCATCAGCCACACTGAARGAACAGAGTCCAGGCAGAATGAGGAGACCATTGGGACAAGCAGCTTTAGCTGAAATGTACCAATGAATGAAAGACACCTCTAGATAACTTACTTCGCTCACTTTGCTGTCATGGACACCCACTGCTTCCCCTTTTAATCCTCAGGGCCACCAAGCTTTATTTACATGTTCTCCTATTTATTTTTCTTTCACCATTTGATTGCATGATATATTCCTGACATTACTTGCACCCTGTTTTACTGCAATTTATTCAGCTAGCATACCCTGTCTCACAGCTTTCAGGTCTCCAGCAGGAAAACCATTTACCAAGCACCACAACTGAGGCCCCTGAGCTCACCTCCACACTGGCACTGCCCAGAGTGAATTAAGAGACTGCTGATCCMTTAACACTGACTAAAATGATGCTCTTCCAGCCACTGCTTCTTCTGTGGGTACAGCAAGGAGAGGTGCAGGAATTTGTGAGAAGAATCCAAGCAATTGCAATACCACAGTCTTTAAATATTAACACTAAAACTGAGCTCACTCCAGAGGCTTACAGAACACACATTTWCTTCCAAAGACTACTCTGGGATCAGGGAGCTCACTCAGAGGAAGGCCAAGCATCAAGCTCTTTTGCCAGGTATTGGCCTAGGAATGCATTTTGAAAATCTGAGAGATTTTTCATCTCTACTTTTTATTAGGTTGTCCTCTATAACTCGCTTCTAAGCTATTTATTTCAATATTTATTAGATAGCTTTCCCACCCCTTTTTTGTCATTTTGATAGGTTAACTTTTTTTAAAACTTCAGAAATTAGAGAGTTCTCACTCCTGAGATGAATTTAATTCCCCTCATCCTTAATACAGATTTTTCATTTGCTTAGATCATAAAACTCCTATTAAAAAACTAGGTTTCTGGAATAGGGTTGTAGCCCTTYTTAACTTGAATTTAGATAGTATTCTTTCACTTCACAGGAAACAAACATATTTTATTACAGTGATCTAACTTTCAATTGCTAGTTTGGTGGGCCTTTTTGTTGTTTGGTTGTTTTGATTGGTTTTTTTTTTAATAATTGGCAAGAACCAAAAAAATGAATACAGCAGAATGCTGCAAATTAGAAAACTCAGGTCYTCTGCAAGACCTAGTAGAAACTATGATTAAAATATTATTATCCATTTTAAAGATTAATTCAGTGTGTTCTTCTCTTCCACTACAGAAAGCTGGGTCACACTCAYCATAGACCTTAATAGACTTTTCAGCAGTTGTCAAAGCTGCTCCATCTGAAACATCATTTTTAGCCAGAGGCATCCAGCTATTCCTAGATGTTATTTAAATTCACATGACTGGAGGGCTTTCTGAGAGACTGTCTAAAGTAATTTGTTTTGTAACTGCCCTCCATTCCCAACATCTACCCTCACAATTTTTAACGCACGTACAAGAACACTGTGCTATTCCCAAGCATGTGCACATTTATAGTTAATTCTATTACTCTGAAGATTTTTAATGTCATACTATTAGCTCAGCTAGGGTGCTATTTCCAGAAACCTCTGAACCATTTTTAGTTCTAATGAAATCCAGATTATTAAGARCCATCCAACAAAAGGATTGTCTACTTTTTCTGGTTTAACATGACCATGCTATTCCATCACTTTATTTGGAAGGCAATATTTGTGCTAAATACACTGGGGGGAAAAACAAACAGAACAAGAGTAGGATTTTTCCTAGTAACTTACTTTTCATTTAAGCAAGTGTTACAGTGCTGAGATTTTTCTGTGGTTTTCTCTCACTGCCCAAGAGAGTTTTCAGTACAGATTCTTTTTCTTCAAATTAGATTTTTGGTCTGACTTTTCTTTCTAATTGGTTTTAAGTTCTTTTAGAGCCAGCTTCAGCAAGATCTTTGAGAGAGTAATCTTCASTCATGCTCAATTACTCACAAGCATAACATCCTCAAATATATAGTTACATATTGTTAAATATTTAATTTATTCCTCAGAATTTAAAGTTAAAAGCCAAGGATTTCTGGAAACACAGAGACTCTTGGACCATGAATCTAAGAGTCAATTGCTCATTTTCTTCTGTTAACSTTATTTTTGCTTCCACTCAAGATTTACTCGTTTCAAGATGGAATTAAAAAGTACMTTCTGCCCAAAGGGATCATGAGAAACAATTTTCAAGGGAAATTTCTAACAGCAGTGTGTGATCACTTTCAAATAAACAAGAACCAAAGCATATCAGATCACAAATTACAAACYAAAGGCTATGTTTCATTTTGGAGGYRACTATTAATACAACAGAACTCAGATTTTGTTTAGAATAACCAGAATAACATGCACTGTTAMACAAATACTAGAACCCACTCCTTTATGCTAATATGCCTCAGGTGAACAGTTCTGGATTACCTTTGTGACTTATTCTAATTGGATTAAAGGCAATTTACTATTTAATTCAAATCCAAACCCAACCTATTTTTGTGAAACACAATTTCTTCCAAGTCAAAACTTTCTGCACAGCCAAAGTCATAGAATAAAGTACCCATGACATTATTTTCCAAAATTAATTCCAATTATACATACTGAAGTAGTAATTGCTTCTGGTAAAACCTGTCTATCAGATTTTCACACTTCTAGTAAATCTAATAATTAATCAAAAGCTCAATAGCTTTTTAAACCAATAGATAGAGATTATATTGGTACATTGATGCATGTTCCAAAAATTAATTTATCTATCTAACCCATTAGACTAACATAGGAGAATTCTCAAAGTTAACTCAATTCTTCAAATGCAAATTCTTTTAATGACATAAACCAGCTTAGTATATAACTTCATTCATAAATTTCAATGTAAAAATTTTCTCATAAATATTGTGAAAGCACAACCTATTAAGGTTGCTCCTTTCTAAGTGGAAGTGACTTGAGACACTTATTTTTTATTGATAAAACAATAATGGAGAAATATGCTTTTTCGTGTATTTATGTTTTGTGCGGAATAATTTTTTAATGGTCACACCTTATTATGTAGTATTGAACAAACAAATAGCAGGGAAGRCATACATAACATCCATATGACAAATGCTCTATAGTTTTTCAAAGTGAATATGAGAATTAAATAGCATTAGATACATCCTCGGACTATCAAGTGTCCCTAGGTCTGTCACTTCTCCACAAATTTCTATTTTCACTACATAATAAATACCAGAACATGATTCTGTTGAAACTGTGTCATCTTCAAAGATACCACAAAACTCCGCTGAAACACATGGTTCTCAACATTTGTCTATATAAGCACTTGGGGGTGTACTAAAAACAGACTACAGTTTCTCAGTGAAGATTCCTCTTTTTCCTACACAGGTTTTTTTCATCACAGAAAAATCACAGATACTATTCTGCAGCCTTGCATAAAAACTTTGCTCAGTTCAGCAAAGACACCAGATCTTCTCTGACATCTGAATAGCAACATACATCCATTTTTCATGTCCTTGAGTGTATTTTCTTTCTCTTCACAAACAGAAATGCCACAAAAATGCAATAAATAACAAAGAGCAATATCTGGGTCMTTTGGTGGTTAATAACTCTCATTAAAGGCCCCAGAGAACACATATTCAGGAAGATGGGAAAGCCCCAAGTTGTTAAAGTTTCTTTTTTAGGTCACTCACCTTAGGTAACTCCCACTCTGATCGGGAACCATCAGCACTGTAGTAATATGGTCTACCTTGTTCATCTGCATGTTTTATCCACTGCAGAAAGAAATGTGATGATAGAAAATGAAATCAGAGTGACAGTCACAACAGTAAATCTCTGAGACCTGAGATTTAAGGTTAATTTTTAATTAAGTGCCATCCACTTCAGCAGTGCCTGATGCACAACCTCCATTAACTAACCAAGGTTAGATTGCAACAAGAGCAACAGTTTTGAGCATCCTGATTTTTTCTTCTGTAACTCCTCAGAAAAAAAGCCCTGCAACATCACACAAGAGACTGTGATAAGTAGATTTTTTTTAAGATGCCAGATCTCATTCTTCTCAACATTAGATTRTCAGTTTAGGGAGGCACAATCTTTCCATCAGATCTGGATCAGGACTTCACACATAAAATTACAAGAAGCTYAACCAGTAACTGCTAATGGTTTGAGAGATACATGCACTTGTTGAACAACYTTTTTAAAACATCAATGGAAACATGAGATGCAATTCCTAGACAAATCATGAAGAAGAGAATATAATTTCTGTAACCTCTACAAGAACCTCCCACAATCAAAAAGGTTAAACCTGTGACATCTGGGACTAGTCATGCAGAAAGAAAAGAGTTGTAATGAGCAAAAAACAACAAGATGATTGCAAAAAAGTACAGAAACATTCACAGCAAGGCTCTTGGCTCAAGCAGGTTTCACAAGATTGCCCTCCTATAGCGRTTTGTGGTAGGAAATGCTGTTTTTTATCAATCCTAGTGCAATTAAAAAAGAAAGCTGCATTGTTTTGCTAAAACATGGCAGTGTGCTTTACAGATGTTTGTCAGAAACAGATCTGAAAAAAAAGAGGATAAAATTCTGAAACTGGCATAAAATACAAATATTTTAAAACTTTTTGCAAATAAAACTTGCATACTTCAACTGGAGAACAGATGGTGGTACAATATGATAAACAAAGCACTGTTTCAGTGAACACTTTAGAAGTAAAGRAAACTCAAAATGCAACTTCAGTGAACAATTAGAAAAAGGGAGTGTTTTACAAATATAAACAAATCCTGTAATTGATCCTATGTAAGGGAAATTCTTAAGGCATGCCCAGAATCACAGTAAGTTGCCAGTAGCAATCAGATAATGAAAATAGGGCATAAATCTGCTGATATGGCTGTAGTTTAATTAAGAAGTCTRCATCTGAAAGCAGATGAAAATCTCTAATAAAGGAAATAATGAAAGTGAAAGAAATTATAAAGCAACATTATAGTCACTTTAAAAACATCTTAACTGGAAGGTCTACGTAGACAATAGCAGCTCTTAAAAGACAGTAAGAAAAACTTATTGGTATGAAGTTCATTCCTGAAGTACAACCAAGAGGATGAGGGAAGGCAGGAACTAAAAAAATTGTACATGGTATGTTCATTTAATATAATCTGATACACAACTGGAAATAAAACTTATTTAGAACAACAAAAAACATACATAAAGAAAAAGCCAGTTCACTTGCTAAAGCTTCATGCATATTTAAAAAAAACAACAAAGGAAATACTGCTGAGGAATGCTCTTCACTTTTGGAAATGTAGGTTTCATTTCTAGAAGTGAATTAGTGGAAAAGATTTAGAACACATGATGAGAAGAAGGAAAAAGTACCTTTTCATTAGTATAGTCATTGGTATACAAGGTTTGACCATGTTCATCCAACTCTTCTGACCAACCCTTTGGAGGAGAACCATACTGACTATCTGACTGGCTGTAACAAGAACTGTGGTCGTTTTCTTCTGATGAAAGATGCTACAAGTAGTCAGAAACATATAAGGCAGTTTTGAGAATGAAAGCGCTTTAAAATCTGAAAGATCAAAGATTATTTGACTAGAAAGAGAATAGTAATGAAACCAGGGAGTTCACATTTATTCAAATCTTATATGAGAGAATGAGATGCATTTTCACAGTACAGACAATCCAAAGTATTTTCAGAACAACTAGCTTAAACTGATACATTTTTTATTTCCACTATACCAAGTTTCAGCTACTCAAAYTTAAACCCATGGGGTTTTGCCCTTCTAAATTTTAATCCTACAAATTTACACTACTGAATGATGAAGAGACTTRGCTTTAGTAATCTCCATTGCCTTAAAAAAACCTGGGAGACCYGCTACCTTGGTTTTCTGGCAACATCCCAAATTTCATATCTAAATCCTTTTCCTTTTCTCAAATACATCTGTAAACATAATAATGACTAAGAACTTGAAACTCCAGTTACACCTTCTTAGGTCCCAGCATTTTACAGCATTTGTCCAATGCATCTTAAAACATGGATTTCCACCTTCCTCTTTTCAACTCTGATGCACATGACAAAGAGCACTCCAGAACCAAGGCTTTCCATCAGGCACAGCTAGCTGAGGTGAAAAATTGCTTTCTGAAGGTAGAAATGAATTATGACGTTAGGAACAAGTTTGATGGTAATGCAGAGAGAAGATTTTACACACTCATAAAACAATTTCTGCTCCCCCATAAACCTTAATCAATCCYCTTGCTAATACATTGTAGTCTTACTCTTAGCATCCATTCCATGCATCAAAAAAAAAAAAAATTCTGCTTTTATCTCCCACAACATCTCTATGTTGTGGTCTCCTGAGGAATTTTAGGCAGATTTCCTTTCATGTGTCTTGGATCCTTAGCTAGCAGGAGGCATAACATTTAAGACACGCTGCTAACTCAGAAACTACAGGAGTAAAATACTAGGCTTCAATAATAGTGACATATGAGTTTTGAGAAAAATTCTAAGGCAGGAAAGAGACACAATTTCAATTCTAAATAGGAAAAAAAACTCTCCTAACAAAGTTCAGTCTTACAAAAAATATTCAATTATCAGAAACTTTTAAAAGTCAATAGGTTTGGAGACTACAYGTTTAGTGACATATCCAAATGATTTCTATTTAGGTGTTTGGTGCTTTTTTTCTGAGCACCTTACCACTTGTGTGACACAAACTCCCTCCACAGACCTGAACCAGCAAAACAAAGCACAACATAATGCACAGGAAWTTTTTAGGCCATTAATTAATGAAGWTAAAAAAAAGGTAAATGTCCTCTGCATCTTACAGAACATGAGCATGTAAACCATGGATTAATCAATGCTACCTCTCTTGCATATGGGGCAATGTGAAATTCTCACATGCCAATTTCTAACCGCAGTGGGTGGGAAGTCTTCAGTCCCATTTTTACACTTYCAGAATTAAGACTGAAGAGCTGCCAAGAGTGCTACCGCCTCATTTTAACCACTTTTTCACAAGATAACTATACTATGTGCACGTATTGAAGCTTAGATTATTTTAATKGTTAAATATTAATTCTGTTGACATATGGCCAACCAATGTAGAAGACTTTGGACATTTTTATTATTACTATCTACAGAGATTATGACCTAATAATATAATACATTGGCATTTGCCTCTTYTAAGCAACTCCTGATACTGAAGAAAACACCCTACATAGGCAAAATTAAACAGAGGAACTAAAAATGAAAATTCTCCTAGGAAAACCACTGTTGTTCAGTAAGAATTACTGTTAATGTGTCTCTCTGCATGGCATCCATATAACAATAGTTTAGATGCTTTGAAGGCTTAACGCACATCTCATACCTTGGCAGACCTAAACTTCACCAAAATTKGAGTTGTTGCAAATTTTACCAAGCCAAGGCATTCCTTGTCCCTCAGCTATCACTAACAACTGCTAAAGCTGCATCAACAGGGTTTAGAGAACACTGGCCAAACAGCATTCAACAGCTTTCAACTTCACTTTCAACACTTTCTAAGCATTAACAGCCTATAAGCATTTTTCATATTGTCTGTGCTTTATCTTAAGCCTCATCCCCAGTTACACTATACCACACTTAAATAAAGCCATCTTAAGCAGACAGCTGCCCAACCTGAAAGTTCTAAGGACTTTGCTGTGACATTAAAAGGAATTACAGAAAAGGWCCCCCACATGATCACTTCTGTTGCCATTCTTGGCTTTTTCCCATTTACATAGAAAATTMCTGGGGGCAGAGACCAGTTCATCACAATGCATTTAACAGAAACAGCTATTTGTCTCCCTTCTATCACTTAACCAGTTTAGCTTTTAAAGTTACTTGTGAAAGTGAAAATAATCAGGAATAATATTAATTAAGGAAGCTACCATCCTGTTATTACTGATTGTTTAGTTTGAAACAAAAAAAAGGAATGCAATCACATGCTGTTCACAGGATTTAAATCTCATTTTGAAATTAAATTAAATCCTGTTGTTTTTCTACATCTGTTGGGGTAATTTGTGGATGTCTRCTTCACTTTATGATCTCCTATCTAGGTACGGGGGGTTTGCCTTCTCTGATATTGTGACATCTCATTCCTTTTACAGTTCAACTTAATTAAATCACCTCATTGGACAAATTTCTCCTAGTTACTGTTAAGCACTCCTTTCTCAAATACATTCACAAGTCACTTCCTCTAATTAATTTTATCTGTAATTCCAAAATATTATACATTTTTTTCAGTCCCTGTGATAGGATTTCACTGCTTCCCCATATCCCACCCATGTAACATGTAACATCMATTTAACTGTCATGACTGTTTTCTKTGTGCCAYGTTTGTGACCAGCTACTTTGGCAAGTAAGGTACAATTCTGTCCCTTTTTAATTGTCCAATCAAATTCAACTTCCTAATCACAAAGTTCAAAGACCAACTGTATGTCATGTTTCATATATGACTCAGATATTAGAAGATGTGATCATTCAGTTCTCGTTTTTACCTTGCCACTTTGCTACCTAATTTTACAACATAAGCCTCTCTGGGGACAAATCAGTAGAAACTAGTGTTTAATCCTTCTGCATTTATTTTTTTATTACTAAAAAAGCATAACTCAGACTGGCCTGAAAGCCAACTCATAATTAAGAAACGTTAGCTCTATGTTTTCCTAATCACACAAAATTTGGGATGCCCTACATTTTACTGTAACTTATGCCTGGATCCCAACTTTTAGTCTATATTGGTTTAAGTACGCAGGGGCTAAAACCAAAAAGGAACATGAACAATGGAGTGTGAAGTACATTCCCAAATGCAAAACAGACAAGGAAAGGGGAGGAAGGGGGGCAAGGGAAAAGACAGCTTCAAAATCAACACAACTGCTGGTGAGTGGATTGACATGACCTTGCAATACGTATCTCCCTAGAGTCGCATTTTGATAACCCAGTCAAGAMACAAATTAAGGAGCTTCTGCTACTGGAAATACAGACTTAGTTAAAAATCAAAACATGTGTCATCCATTGGTCTCACAAAGACYGAAAACTTGATAGACATAACTGTCTGATGGACAGCTTGTGTGACACCTGAGGTATCACGGATAAACATAAGAACTGACTGAAAGAAGTTACGGGCAATTTAAAAAATARATAAAAAATGAAGCATTCTGAAGATGCAACCATGTGGTGAAGTCATGGTACAGACATATGAGTAAGAGTCAGAGAGATCACTTGCAGATGGGGAGGAAGAAAGAATTCTTGCAAGTCCTTCCGTGAAAAGAAGGAAGAACTGCAACGAGAAAACCAGTTGCACTTACTACAAGAATTACTACTCAAAAAAGCAATTGTCTTATCCACACCAAAACCAGTTTTACTCAGTAAAAGGATAGTCAGTGATAAAATTAATAGACCATCACCAGAGATACCAAAGAACAAGCACAAACATTTCATCTGTTTGCCTGCTGCAAGAAAATTTGGCTATTTAAATGCTTGTGGATGTCATGGCTGCCATGAAGGCCATTGCCAAAGGAAATGAAAGGTTTCTTTTTCCCTTTYKCTCCTGTTCCTGATACTACCGTTCCGTGACAGGCTTCCAGCAATCAAAAATTTTTGAGCAGTCCCCAATTCAATATTAAAACTAAACACTGGGTTTATAGTTTACACATACAGGATATATAGAGAGGCTATATATAGTTGGCATGGGAGAAAATCCACCAAAATTATATATATTTGAAAAGGGTGTATAGAAGTGAAATACGTAGAATATTTCTTGATAAATATTTGCTTTTTCTTTCCATCAGGAAACTGGTTAACCTCAGAACAGTTTGGACACAAGAGCACTATTTTAAGCATATTTAAATAATRATATCCATCTTCCAACTATTTCTTTGCTTTATCTGAACCACTGCAGTTCAGATAARCACACCCCAAATGAGGTTTTGCCTAGCAACTGGCTGCACAGAATAAATTGRCACCTCAAATATTAGTCCAAATCATCTCTTAGCATAAATAACTTCACTGTAAGGTTTAACTCTCTCAAGCAACGTCAGAAGCAAAACTTCACCAAAAGGCTTTGCAAAAGCAAAACTTTTRCATAATTTAAAGAAAAATCCATTGATACATCTGAAGAATATATTTATGGCCTGAATATAATTTAGTCAAAAGTAGAAATACCTGCTATGGGACTCTTTTCAAGTTACTACTCTTGCACACAGTTCATGTACACATTCTTGTACACAACAGCAACTCAAGAGTGAAACTGTTGACTACTTCATACCAAGAAACATAACCAAGAAGACAAAGAAAGACACTCCTTGACACCTTGAAACTCAGAGAAATTCCACAGCAAAAGACCATTCATATGCATCACAATCTCATTGCTTTTGATCTSAGAAGGAACTACCTCATGATCTGCATGGCTCTGGGAATCCCCTTTATTAATGCTTGCATCTCGGGCCCACCGCGGAGGTTTCCAGGTTCGTTCCTGTGATCCTCTGTTGTAGTAATAACAGCGTCCTGTCGTATCTTTATGGGTTTCCCATTCCCCATTTATTTGGACTGGAGCACTTGTAGGTAGTGGTGGAAGTGCAGACTGAGATATTTTCAGTTCTTGTAAATTAGCATAAACTGGTGAATCAGGCCTCCCTTGGCTTGGTGGAGTAGTTGGCTATTGAGAGAAGAAATGCACTGTTAACGAGCAAACGAATTTTTGAATGCTCCTTTACAAATCACAATACAGTAGTAAAACAAACCAACAAACTCCCTTTTTTGTTTTTAAGTACAGAAGCACAAAGGACAGCCACAAGATGCTGGGGTGTAAGAACATTAGATTCTTAACTGTAAGGTAGATATCACAAGCTATATTTATGTAATACTGAACCAATTTTTCAGCATTTCTCCAGATGGCAGCTGATAATTATGTYTTACAGAAGATTTGAAATACACTGGAATCGTCACCAAAAAATTATCTGCTTGTCATGCCTTGTTGAAAAACTTCAGCTTTACAGTTCAAGTATTGCTCAGAAACTGTAAGTAATGTGATCTTGTTCAAGACAATACATAGCATTTCTGCGATGCCACTTGTTAGGCAAARATTGTTCCCCAGCCTTTCCACCTCACTGCTAATACTGAGCTGGTGAATGTAAAGCAGCACTTTTTTATTCTCAGCAAGTTCTAAACAGGCAGCTCAGTCAGAAAGACAAGCACAGTGCTGTGGCTAAGAAACCCTGAAAAACACCTGGATGGTTTACCTGTATGCCTTTTCAAACATACTTATTTAAAAATATTTTAGGCAACATCACCAAGTGCTTCAATTACCACTCTCTTTTTGTAGRGATTCAGTGGATATTCTTATCCACCTGATTTTATTCACATACATGCAAACAAGTAGAGCAACAAATACCTACAAGAAAACAAAACACTAATGACAATCACTCATTAATAGTTTGGTAACACAACAGCCAGCAGAAATTATGGTTAAAAGACCACAGAACTTACTGAAACCACGAATACRTCCAAATGAGCCACCACAGTGTTTAGGAGAGAAATAAAGCTTCAGATGTTCCGTTTTTAAAGTCTAATACAAACACTCATGCAGAATGTAAGAGCATGTGCTTTCACAAGAGCTGTGATTATGAGATTGTGAAAGAGCTAGTTATTAAACAAAATTAAAGAGTTTCCTAGTAATGCACTGCCATTTCTATATTTTGGGGCACAATATTTAGGCACTCTAAGGAAGGAACTGTACAATTTATACCATCCCCTCAGTTTTAACTGAGCAGCTTTGCTGTAGGCAAGTCCTTGTACCTCCTGTTGCCATTGCATCGCATAAAAGATCTTTTATAATGTACTTTTAAACATTAAAATCATAAGATGCTAATCTAGGCCACATCTAATCATAAATTATCATGGTTTGCTCAGGCACGACAGCATATCATACCACACAATCAGATATAAACTGATTGCACCATAAGTAGAACCAAATATGGGCAATATCCACAACCAAAGGGTGAAGCAGCTAGAGAGGAAATTAATGAGATTATAACGGGCATGGACTTGTTTTGCGTGCCTTTAAAAGAGAAAACACAGCTTACTAGATATAGCAAGCACAGTACATCTAAGGCAAACCACAAGTGGCAAAAAAAAAAAAAATTGCAGCACTGGCAAAATCAGAAAGCCAAAACCAAGTAGTATCCTTCTATACCTGATCCAAACAAAAAATCTATTACAAAACTACAAAACTTGATGAACATCAAAAGGCTGCTTTTCTATCCAAGTCACACAGGCCTCTTTTTTTTTTCTTTTTTTTTTGAGGGGGGAGTGGGTAGAATAAGCTGCCTTTGGTACAGTTTGTCTTGAGAGCACTAAGAGCAGAAACAACACTATTATGAATGAAGCACCACCACCCTAATTTCTTCAGGGATGAACCTCAATTCCCTCAGATGTTGGGGCAGTAATCTTTACACCTCCTTGTCCAAGAGCACAGATTCTGCCTTGGTTTTTTAAGAGTCTGCAGAGCTGTATTTCCCACGTAAATCAGCCCACTCTTAAACCACAGAGTTTCTCACTAAAATGACACCATGCACCTGCACCACAGAACACACAAACCTTCAGCTCCTTCCTCTGTTTCAAGGAAGCGGCAAAAGTGGCATCACCAAGCGCTCTGGCTGCTGCCACAGCAGGCTGGTGGCTTGCACAACCCTCACCTCCTCCTAAAATTCCTCTTCCACACAAGACAATAAGAATGCTTTGTTGTCTGGCCCACTTTTAATGTTTTTTTTTTTTGTTTGTTTTAATTCAGACAGTGAAGTGCCATCAATAAAAGAACAGTCCTGTGTATTAATGTGTTTTCCAAATAGAAAGCCTGTGACACAGAATGCCTGGTATAGTTTTTGGAACATTTTCTCAAGCAACACAGAGGAATATGGCTCACAGGCTTCACACTGAGGTTTTCAACTATTTCAGCATTACAACCAGTGCAGCTCCAGATGRAACTGCAGGACACAGATGTGCTCAGCCAATACTGGGAGCTCACAACCAAAGTTATGTGCTGCCACATAACTCAGGCAGCACATTAGCTATGTTTAAAACACTAACGTAATATGAAAGTGTAATGAGGGCTTTTCTTCTGAATGCTTAGTGCTTTCCAAACTCAATACACCAATTTCTGATTTTCAAGGAAAAGACAGAACTTATCTCCTAAGGAACAAACAAGAAAACTAGCTGTCCTGCCAAGCCAACCCTCCAGCTACTATCAYTCCCTTTTTCTTTTCTGACAGATTTTTCAGGGAGAACTGCAAGGTTTTTGAAAAGCATCTGGAAGTTACTGCTTTCAGTGAAGCATTAAGAAAATGCAAAGCCATCAATCTGAACACAACACGCAGCTTAGCTCACAAGTACGTCTTTGAGGGATATGACTTTCTTATCAGGAACTATTTTAAACAACCTTGTAGCACACAAGCGTACTTCCTCATACCCCAAACCATGCAATGAGGTTTGTTGTTATGTCTATGATTTCATGCTCAGTTTAACAGCACCCAACCTTAACAAGGCTAATTGTGTCAAGAATTTCTTATTTATTGATAAGAAAAACAGCTTTTAGAAAGGTCAATGTTTTCTGAAATTAACTTTAGTGTACTTTAATCTATGTCAGTGTTGCAGGACTCAGTCCCCCTTGCCCACACCGGTCCAGCTGGGAAGGGGAGTCCCGCACAGGCAGTTCACAGTGGATGTCCCCATGGAATTCCCAGGCACTGCACCACCTCCCCCTTTCCTTTCAGATGATCATTTTGTGAGTTCACAACTGAGTCCTCCAAAAAAACTTGTATAGTTTCAAGCCAAAAAGCAGATTAATTTAACTTTCATTTATCAAAACCATTACTCACTGACAATRTGAACAGACAAAGCATTACCTAGATCAAAATAGTTTCTGATTACTTCCACGGGTGTATGCCCAAAACCAGACATACACAGTTAAGGGAGATTTAAATATATGCTAAACATTAAACAGGACTTCCAGCTAGAACTTCCCTCCCCGAGGCCTTTTYTTGAACTATCAAACTCTGAATGCTCATAAACATGGAATTAAATCTTCTTGAAGACACTCCTTGTCTTTTCGCTATCAGAATCGCAAGAACACGGCCTTCAACGTGCCCATGCATGCACACACAAAACGCCTTATACTCCACACACTTCAGCATTCACGTGCTATTTGATACAGATTTCAGACTTTTTCATGTTGCTTTTTCCTGCTAAGAACAGTGAAGGACTCTTGCTAGAAAAGTGATGCARGAAAATTAGAAAGCAGAAATACTTCTATGATGCTACAACATGAATGAAAATTGTACCACCCATTAAGCACTCCAGCAACTTCCAGAGCATAAAGACCTCCCCCAGAGCTCAGCMATGCTCTGTAAAATACTACAGAAATCTGCCACATTTAACCTCAGAAAATTCTGCTAACACTGAATCCTTGCTGATTGATAAGGAAGAGAGTTTCGTGCAGGCAGGACAAAGTTTCCAGGATCAACACACAGCATTCTTCAAAAAGAGACTGCACACACAGCATTTTCAGAGGAGTTTTTATACTGGCACAGTAGGAAGCAGATACGGGCCTTTAAAAAAAAAACAACCTGTTAATCATTCATGAATGAACAGTCACCATTTTCAACAAAGGCCACAGATATGCTATCAGGCCTCTGGAAACCTGAACTCAGTGCAATGGAAAGCAAATGTATACATTTTGGTAATGAAAAGTACCTTGTGAAGAAGCACAGTATRCAAGCAATAAACAGCCAGAAAACAAAGTTTGCTTGTAATGGATAATTACATTTTTCCTTTTACAGAATTAAAATTCAAGACAAAAATTTCTAGAACGTAACTGCTTAAAGAATGACTGCAATGCTTGCCTGCAAAACACGACCAGCTACACATCAAATTGCTTTCGCTGTCATGCCTMTGTTCACAGCTTCTCTTAATGTTATGAATCAGAATGTAAAAGCTTTCATTTCAGTAGCAGTGTTCATATTGCTGTAAATAGCTGCTAAAAATGAAGAATCCTTAAAAAAAAAAAGTAAAGGCAAATCTTAACAGTCTTTATGAAGTTACAAGCAACAGATTGTCCATACTCATGTCAAAAAAAAAAGCATTATATTGAAGGAAAGTAAGGGAATACTGTCTCTGCAGCAGCAAGCTGAAGAAAGGACAACAGGCAAATCCCACAGCATTGTGAGACTGGAAATGAAGCATTCCAGTTCCCTCAACAACTGAGCTTCTTGCCAAGGAATTGCTGCTGTCCTTTCAGGAAGGTCTGGGACTTCAATACCAGCTTTATTCAACAGGAATGATACAAAAGAAATCTCAAAAACTCTACAGTTTCATTTTCACAAAGTGACAGTTTCAGCTGGAATAATTAGCTCATCTTTTCCTTCCTGTTTCTGCTTTTGGTTAATGTTTTTAGAAGCATGTTCTGGACTCTATTTTCTTTCTAACAGATACAGACATATTTACAATTTATACCCAAAAACCCACAGGGGAGATTTTTCAGTGGGTTCTCTTCTACCTCTGAGGTGAATATAACAAGCTAATTTAGTAAGACAAATTTGAAACAGGAACTGAAACCATTTTTATGCTTTAACCTTCTMCAACCTAGACTGGATAATCCACACC